GGTGTTTTAACAGTCTGTCCGGGATTGTTCCTAGCACAAATCATGCAAGCCTGGGTGTGCTTAGCTGCTATAACAGTAAACCCAGGTGCCACCCAATGGGTATTCACCTGTTCATCTTGGCTAAATGTGTGGGTCCATGGGCTACTTGGGCCATCATAGGGTACAATACTCGTGGTAGACATAGTCTTTTACCTTTTCTCCATATTCTGTTGTCATCAGGTTTTGCATCCTTTTTCCTCAGGGGTCCTGTTCTTACTTGCCCGCCTGCTTCTGTAGTCTCAAGAGTATGTTGTAGTCAACAGTCTTTTCTGGAAGAACAACCTGTAGAAAGGTATTACCTGAGAGTGGGGAAGGATGAGGTTGAATTGCTGCTTGCTTGGCAGCTTCATCTCCTTTGTGGTTTCCTCTTGTGATTTTTCATCTGTGATCTTCTTGAGTGGGTAGCAGGATAGCGTCCATTAGGGCACTCACGGCTTCAGAGTTCTTGATTGGAGTTCCAGCTGAAGTGAGAAAATCATGAGCATGCCAAATAGACCCAAAGGTATAGCGAGAGCCTGTGTAAATATTAGCTGTCTTACCAGAGGCCAGTTTGCACGCTTCAGTGAGTGCCTTCAGGTCAGCCTCCTGTGCAGAGCAGTGAGGGGCGAGTGGTTCAGCTTTAATTACCTCATGTGCAGAGACTACAGCATATCCAGTGTGGAAATTACCCTTCTCATCAGCATATCTGGAACTGTATACAAAAACTCAAAGTCTGGATTAGACAATGGAGAATCAATTACATGCAAAAAACCTGCTGTCTCTTGTGCCATTAATGCTGCACAGTCATGGGGTACCTGAGCTTCTGCAAACTCATTTGGTGACAGAGATTTTACAAAAAGATCAGAACCACTACTAACACTATACCCCTCTTTGAAATCCAGGGGAGGCAATATAGATGGATTTAATACCATACACACACTGCATCTTAAGATGCCTAGCAGTATGTATGTGTTTGGGCTGAACTTATGATAAACTGCTGTTGTCATGCGGAGTGTAAATGGTAACAGGATTGTCTAAAATAATGTCAGTGGCTTTGTCCAGTAGTGCAGTAGCAGCAGCTACTGCACGCACACAGGAAGGGGCCCTTCTTGCAACAGGGTCTAACCTGGTAGAGTAATAGGCAACGGGTCTCTGTTTCCCACCATGGTCCTGAGTGAGGACAGCTGTGGCATAGCCAGCTTGCTCTGTGCAAAACAGAGTGAAGGGCTTGTTGTGGACCAAACCAAGTGTTTGAAGATTTGAATATCTGCCAAATTATCCCTAGCCAAATTATTGATATTTAATGCGTGCACGCTCCTAAAGTAAATTCACACTGGACGCAAGTTTCTGGTTGATGAAAGAACTTCAGGAATGTTTATTCAGGGGGCCGGTATGCCCTTATAAAGCAAGAATACATCATATGCAAAATTATAGATAACAGAGAAAATACATCAACAATTGGTTAGGTGTTAAGTATTTTATCTAATGCACATCCTACAAGGCGTGATGTCACTGTCATCACAGGATTTTACTCTGGATTCCAGCGCCATCTTGTTACACGAGGTAGTTAGTCGATGGGAGGGGTTGCCTCTAGTAGCCATTTTGAGTAAATAGTGAATATGAGTATGTATGGGTAAATAGGCATTTTACTAATTCTAATTTATGTCCATAACAGTCCCCTCTTAAAATTACTATTTACTAAACAACTACAATAAGCACCAAGTCAACTCTCCCTAATAGGCTGCCGCACATCTGTCTCACAGGCCTCTCGAACTCTTCTGGGTGCTGTGCATTAGACAGGCAGTGCCTTGTCCACTACCTCCCCCACTACAGACTTTACCTGTAAAGACAGACGCTATCCCTATTGTCCCTAAAAAGAAGTAGTTGTGTGATTGGTGCGGAGGGACTGCAAGGGAGAATGGGGTGAGTGAAGTTTATCAAAATCTTCATCATCTAACTCCTGGTGAAGGAAGGTTGGGATAGTCCGGTCAATGGTCTGGTCGACTGTCTTCTGCAGGTATTTCTGAACACATGGTAGCACACAACAAACCACAATTACAAGGAGAAGCATCATAATTAAGACAGCCATACCCACTTGGATAAGCACCTTCTGCCAGCCACTCAACCATCTATCCCATGAGTTAGCGACCCCTGAATTTCTCTTTAACTCTTCTGAGAGGCTTTCTAATTTTTCAATTGCCAGAGTCACCTTTCCATTAGGGCCTGTGGTATTAGGGATGAAGGTACAACATGTTATTGTGTCTGGAAGTATTTTACATACTCCTCCTTTTTCTGCCAACATCATATCTAGGGTCATCCTATTCTGGAAGGTCATCTGGGAGGTGACTTGTAATTGCTCTGCCAGCCCTTGAAGGGCATCTCTGGTATATTTAACAAAACGTTGTTGGTTAAAATAGATGTAATTAATCCAATTCAAATTCATGTTGGCTGTGTTTAGTGGAATGATTGATTCAAAACCTGTTGCAACTTCGTCCCTTGCTTTGAATTCATTTGGCACACCCCTAGGCACTCCTATGGCATCTATATATATATATATATGTGTGGGTCAAAACTGCCTTTAACAGATGTGCTTCTCTTGGCTCTGACATAGGCATGTGGTGTGTCGAGAGGACCTTGGTGATTATCTGATATTATGTGTATGGGCATTTTAAGCGAGATCTGCTTCCTCTGGAACTGGAACTTTCTTGCAGTGTGAAGAGTGTATCCAAGTCTTTTTCCCAGCCAGTTTCACTGAGGTAGATGTGGTCAGGAGGACTTGGAAAGGACCATCATAGCTTGGGTCAAGAGAGCTTTTCCTCAGGAACCTCTTAATCAGGACCCAATCACCAGGAAGTAGCTTGTGGGTGCCCGTATCAGACTCTGGATCTGGAATGGAAGAAAACACTTGTGCATGGATTTTGGTCAAAGCCCGAGAGAGAGCAGTTACATATTCAATCAACACATCTGACTGGAGTTGGAGCTGTTGAGGGAAATAGCAGCCTAGTCTGGGGGCTGAACCAAACAAGATTTTGTATGGGGATAGGCCAAACTTCCCTCTTGGTGTATACCTCACACTAAATAGAGCTATGGGGAGACTCTCTGGCCAGGGTAGGTTAGTTTCTTGGGCCATTTTAAGGTGCCATTCTACCTTGCCACTACTCTGTGGGTGATAGGGTGCATGGAATGCAAGGGTCACCCCCAGTGCTGCCCAGATTACTTTAGTCACCAGTGTTGTGAAGGATGGGCCCTGGTCACTTTCTATCACTTCTCCATATCTGCACACAGCTTCAGTGAGTAGAAGTTTGGCCGTGGTTCTGGCTGTCATGTTGGTGATAGGAAAGGCTTCTGGCCATCCTAAGAACATGTTCACTATGACTAGTGCATATTCATACCGGCCACTTTGATATTGAGGTTTGGCAAGATGTTTGAGGGGAGCTGTTTCTGTTCTCCCGGATTTGCACTTGGCACAAATGGTACAGGACCTGCAGTATTTAGTTAGGGAAGTGATGCCTGGTGCTTCAAAGTATTTGTTGATCAGGGAGTTCATGAGGTTCTTGGACAAATATGCTGCTCCATGGGCCCACTGGACTACTGCTGGGTACATGTTTTTAGGTAAGCAGAACTTGAGATTAATGGTATATATTCCATTTTGGAGAGTTGCTCCTTTCTGTTTCCAGCTCTGTCTTTCCTCGGGGTTAGCAGCTGCTTGCCATTCCTTCAGAAGTTTGAGATCTGTAGGCAAAGTCTGCATAGTGAATATGCGGGTTTCCTCAGCGGACACTCTTCTGTCCACTTCCCTTGGCGCACTAGCAGCATCCTTGGCAGCTTGGTCAGCTAGGTAGTTGCCACATGCGTCCTCTGAATTCAGTCTCCTGTGGGCCTTTACCTTCAGTATGGCCACTTCTTCAGGAAGCAGCAGGGCATCCATTAACTCTTTGATAGCTGTACCATGTTTGAATAGCTTACCCGTTGCTGTAAGGAAATGCCTTGTCTTCCAGATTAATCCAAAGTCATGTGCCTAAGGCATATCTTGAACCAGTGTAGATATTGGCACGTTTTCCTTCAGACATTTTTCATGCTGTGGTGAGAGCCTTCAGTTCAGCTTCTTGGGCAGACATGGATGGGGGAAGTGATGATAGGTGAAGTATCTGATCCATTGTAGTTACAGCGAATCCAGTGTTGTACCTTCCTTGTTCATCAGTATGTCTGGAGCCATCCACAAATAAAGTGAAGTCGGGTTCAAGCAAAGCAGTTTCACGTACGGTTGGGAGATGTGTTGTTTCCATTTTCATCTGTTCAAAGCAGTCATGAGGAGCATCTGGGTCTTGGTCTGTGGGAGGGGCATCAATGTAAATTTCTGTGTGTTATCGGGGATACCCAGTTGCCTTGCAATTCACTGTTCTTTTGGTGACACCCTCTGCGGTAAGTTGGTCTTGATCTGTAATGCTCCATGTGCTGGCCAATGGGCCAAGTTCCTTCCATGAGATTTCTGGGGATTTGGTGAAGGAGACGTGAGGAACAGCCAGATTCCAGTGATGATACATGTGTCTTACTTCCACGGGTAAGAGGACCAGGGCCACACTATTTCCCTTAGAGTCACAGAACAAGTCTGTCAAGATGAGACATACCTCTACCAGTTTGAACAGCTTCGTAATGGGGATCTGGTCCTGGGATATTTCTGAACCACAGGGTGCAATGTAGGAAAGGTTGCTCATCATGAGGAAATGGTGGGTTTCCGTACCTGTAGCTCAAAGGCAATGTCGGGATCAATATCAAGGCTATACCAATAGTGCGGTATTCCCCCCCTGGGAAGTGTCAGAAGAGTGGTCTGATTGAGGGAGTAACATCTTTGTAAGGTGACATTCTCAGGTAAGAGAAGTCTACAGGCGAAGGTGTCTCTGAGATGTGAGATGCTTCGGTTGAACTTGATTGAGGCTGGCAGTAATGCCACGAGGTGCAAGTATGTGTCCGAGGACTAGATAATTTGTCTTATCCAGGAGTAAAAAGGCTACAAAAACTGCTCGTAGACAGGAAGGGCTTTCTCTTGCCACAGGGTCCAGCTGTCAAGAATAGTAGCCAATAGGACGTTGGCGGAAACCATGGGATTGTGTAAGAACACCAGAGGCATGTCCCAACCGTTCAGAGAGGAAGAGCTTGAAAGGTTTTTAGTAGTTGGGGAGGCCCAATGCAGGGGCTGAGGAAATAGCACGTTGGAGAGCGTAGAAGCTAGAGAGGGCTTCAGGAGATAAGGAAAAAAGTTCAGTCTTGAGTGCATCATAGAGAGGCTGCATCAGGGTGGATGCTTTGGGAATCCAGGCCCTGCAGTAAGAGATGAGGCCCAGGAAAGCATGAGGAGGCTTGTGGGCTGGTGGTGGACAGATAGACATGATGCCTCGTACTCTATCTCGAGTAAGATGATGGGTGCCATGGGAAAGATAATGTCCCAAGAAGACCACAGAGGGCCGGCACCATTGTAGCTTCTTTTTGGAGGCCTTGCTGCCTTGTTCTGCTAGAAAGCATAGCAGATCTTCTGAGGTACGTTCAGCAGTTGGGAGGGCATCTGCACAGAGGAGGAGGTCATCCACATATTGGAGGAGAACCACATCAGTGTGAGTCTTTTGCCATGGTTCCAGAATGATTGACATGGCTTTTGCAAATTGACTAGGTGAATTTTGTGCCCCTTGAGGCATGACAGTCCATGTATACTGCTGACGGTCATCGGTGAATGCAAATAAATATTGTCAGGAGGGAGCCAAAGGTACACTAAAGAAGGCATTTGCAAGATAAACCACCATGAAGAACTTGGCCATAGGGGGTACTCCTGACAGAAGGGTGTGAGGATTAGGAACGATGGGGGTGTCCACAACAGTGACTTCATTGATAGCTCTGAGATCCTGAACCATTCTATACTTGACCAGTTTACCCTTTTCAGTCTTCTTCTTCACTGGGAACAAAGGGGTATTGCATGGAGATTCACATTTGACAAAAGCACCTTTTTCTTGTAGGATTTCAACCTGTTTAGAGATAGCAAGAGCTTGAGCAGCTCTCCATGAATACTGTGGCCTTTAGGGTGGGTTAGCACTTTGGAGCCATTTCACAACAAGTGGAGGAACTTGGAGACGTCCAGTGTCCTCGGGGCCAGTGAACCACAGTTTTGCTGGGACTCTATCTAGTGCACTGGTGGGATCAACTGGGACCCTTTCATTCGAATGGGGAGATTCCATGTGAAGTAGGAGAGGCAGAGAACAGAGAGCTGAAGTATCTTCCTTAGAGAGGGGGTTAGTAACTGTACCTGGTCATCAAGAGTGAAAGTGATGGAAGCCTGTAGGCGGGAAAGAACATCAGCATTTAATAGGACAGGTAGAGGAAACCACAAATCATGTGAGGAGCTCTGGGAAGGTGCCCACTTGCAGGGGCTTTGTTAATGGGTTACTGTCAATATTGGACAGGAAAGAGGAGTCAGGCAGGTCTTGTTTTCTGAGTACGCTACGGCTGCACCTGTGTCAACTAAAAAGGTAGTAGGGTTACTGTCAATGGGTATAACCACTGTAGCTAGGGGCCCCCGTTTATCCCCCTGTAGACACTGCCATGACAGGGGCATGAGACACAGGTTTGCCAGTTACCTATTGTTAAGATCTAGATGGGCCAGGTCAGGGCCTATATAAGGGGCGGTTGGTTGATGTAGGATGGTTAGATTGTTGAGCACATTGTGCAGGACGTTGATGAATGGGTGTGGGGTGGTCAGTGGGCGGGTAACCATTGGAAGGATAGTTATCTGTGGGATAACTGGCAGCATAGTCATGCGATACAGGATAACTGGGAGCTGGAGGTGGGTAGTAGACAGCCATAGGGTAAGCTGGGGCTGCAGGTGTTGGGTAGACAGTAGGATGGTAGCCAGCCACAAGGTGGGGGGGTCCTACAGCCTGTGCTTGTGGCCTGGAAGGCCTGGAAGCAGGACAGTCTTTTCTGTAGTGACCTGACTGTTTACAGTTATAGCAGATTCTGGTCTGTGGTCTAGGAGCATGAGGCGTGTGTGGGTCAAAAGGTGGGTGTATGGGGTACCCAGCAGGGGCTGGGGCAGGTCTGATTGCAGGATTATGAAAGGAAAACATAAGGGGAGCAGACTTTCTTGTTGAAGGCAGTTGGGAAGATTCTAGGCCCTTTGCAACCAGCAGGAGGGTATCCAGAGGAATGATCCTGTACTTGGGGTGGGACAAGACCAGGCCTTTCTTTAGGGCTTTTTAAGGCCTGCCACAAAGGCTGCGAATAGCATCTGGGTGTGGGCCTTGTTATATAAATTAAAACCCTGATCAGAGATGGTTTGTGTCAACCTTGAGTGAAATTTCTCTACTGATTCTGTCTTTTCTTGAACAATATCATTAATACAAGTTGCCTGATCGGCTAATTTATCCTGGGCCCACGCACAGAGCTGCTCACAGAATATTATGCCTGACTGGAAATCTGTATCGCTAGTGAGGCGGGCATCATCGAAACTCCTTTCCATTATGGGCCAATAGGCATCCCCAGCTTTAATTTCACAGAGACCGGACAAATCACACCATGTGGCAGAGTATGTTTTACAGATCTGAGCGATCCTTCAAAAGAAGGGCTTGGGTTGTCTTTCTGGGTCTGGGAGGGAGGCTACCAAGGTTGCAGCCTGGGATGGGTTGAATGTGATGTACATTTAAGGTGTACCATACGTGGTAAGTTGGGCAGCTTGGGGGTCGGCCAGAGGTGCTCGAGGAACATTATTTGCCAGGGGCTGTGGTGGGCTTTCACCGTGTACACTGCTACCATCAGGGGACACTGGGTTCTGTGGTGCGTGGAAACTAACTGTATCAGAGGAATCTGGAGCTTGTGCTGCGTTGGCAACGCTATCTTGTGTAGGAAGGGCTGGTTGGGCTTGGGATGATGACTGGTGGGGTGCTTGTGGAAGGCTTGGGGAATGTGATGAGGCTACGGATTCTCCGGAGCCAACCGTCGTAATAGGAAGAGACCCACTGGGGACGGCCATGACAGGGGCGGGAACGGAAATGGATGCTTAGATAGGAGGGGAAGTGACCAGAGGGATGCCGGGAGGGAAGTGACGACAAAGGTAGGGGTGGATGGGGCGGATGTGGCAAGGGGCAATGGGGTAAGGACGGAAGTGACAGGATCGGGGAGGGGAGCGGCCAGGGTGGAAGTGACAGGGATAGGGGATGGGGTGAGGCTGGAGGTAGCATTAACCGGAAAAGGGGGTGGAGCAAGGGTAGGAGTGGCAGGCGGATAGAAAGTGGGCAAACCAGGGGATGGCATGTCAGAGACAGTGAGGGGAGTTGTGACTGGGGTGGGTAAGGAAGGTAAAATGGGGGCAGGGTAATAGTAAGATCCGTCTGCTCCGAGATCGGGATATCAGGGGGTGCATTAACAGGAGCTGGTATTTGGGAGGGGGTGACGGGGGTTAGACCTTCTCTTTGTGCCAGGCGCCATCATAGGGCGGTGGCTGGAACACACTTGCAGTGGATTCAACAGTACAAACATTTTCATGATACACATAGACTTTCTGTACTTCCATTTCTAGTTCTTCCTCTATCCGCTTAATACCTCTGGCTACTCTATACCAAGCTTCTGCTGCTTTCATTAAACCATTATCAAGTAGCAATCCTTCCTTGTCTTTCAACAATTTTCTCCAACTCTCTGGCTGTAATTGCCCGCTTGGAGACATGGTAATGCCACATATCTTAACAATCTTCTTCACCTTACTCACAGCTTCCTCGCCCGCTCTTTCCTTCACAATATCACAAGCCAATTGGCCCATAGAGGGCTTCACATGTTCCTGTCCCATTCTCACTACACAAGTCGTCACTTGATAGAAATAAACAGGAAAAGAACGTCTACAGTGCTCGACTGCCACGAGATGGTTAATCTGCGTGCGTCTTCCCAAAACGTAGACTAGTCACTATGTTCGCCCACCCGAGGTGGCCACGGATTGGAGCGAGGCGAGTAGTGCGTGACTAACACTTCTCCGGACAAAGGGTACAGGAGAAAAAGAGGAAGAGAGAAAAAGAGAAAGTGAAAAGGCTGATGAGAAAGCACTTGCAAGAATGACAAACAAAAATACGTGCACACAAACACGAATCAAGGATAAACCACACCATGCAAGTGGATGCAATCACGTCACAAACAATGAAATCCCAACTGAGCAACCACCACACTACAACAAAGGTTAATAATGAATTCTGCATAACAATAATAAAATTTGCGTTCCCTGTCTCTGACCGGACAGTAAAAGCTAATAAAAAAACTGCGTACCCTGTCTCTCACCGGACAGTAAAAGCTAATAAAAACTCAAATGCAAAATTCCTTCCTCTCATGCAAAATACATTCACACTTAGGAAGCAGATAGTCAATTTACAGGTTCTTTTAAAAGTACATCAAGCAAGCTATTTACCTGTCTTTGGTGCCCTCCAGCAGCCGGCGTAGACACGGAGCCAGGCCAATCACAAAGATAGGAGATATAGGCAAGTGCTACCGCGTTCATTACCGTATATGCAGAGTTGATCAATCTCCGTCCCGTCTCTGAAGGTCTGCTCTCCTGGGCCCTCGAGGACAGCTGTCCGTTGGGACACAGCTCGATGCCCAACGTTGGGCGCCAAATGTTGTGGACCAAACAAAGTGTTTGATGATCTGAATATCTGCCCCTAGCCAAATTATTGATATTTAATGCGTGCAGGCTCCTAAAGTAAATTCACACTGGACACAAGTTTATGGTTGATGAAAGAACTTCAGGAATGTTTATTCAGGGGGCCGGCATGCCCCTTATAAAGTAAGAATACATCATATGCAAAATTATAGATAACAGAGAAAATACATCAACAATTGGTTAGGTGTTAAGTGTTTTATCTAATGTACATCCTACAAGGCGTGATGTCACTGTCATCACAGGATTTTACTCCGGATTCCAGCGCCATCTTGTTACACGAGGTAGTTAGTCGATGGGAGGGGTTGCCTCTAGTAGCCATTTTGAGTAAATATTGAATATGAGTATGTATGAGTAAATAGGCATTTTACTAATTCTAATTTATGTCCATAACAGGCTTCCTATAGACCCAGTGTCAGGGCAGAGGTGACAAGCAATTTAAGAGTGTAAAAGGCTTCCTCTGCTCTAGGAGTTAAATGAAAGAGGTCAATGATCAGGCCTATCATACAAGGGCTGCATATAGATTGCTGCAGAGCGAAGCCAAGGGCTAAACAGGAGACTAGGCCCAGGAAAGTACGTAGTTGAGCTAGGCTGCGTGGAGGGTTAATTTGTTCAATAGCATTTTTCCTGTCTTCTGTGAGATGCTTTGTACCATGAGAAATATAATGTCCTAGAAAAGTAAAGGTGGGAACGCAAGCCTGCAGTTTAGCCATGGTAGCTTTGCACCCTGCTTGTGCCAAAAATGTAATAAAGACAGGGTGGGCTCAGTACATGACTCCTGATCAGGGCTGTCGATTTCCTATGGGGAAGCAGCAGTATCTTGTGAAGGAGCGGTAAGTGGGGGCGCTGCTGCTGCATTGTGACAGTCTGGCTTTAGGCGAGAAGGACATTTACAGTTTCATTTGATGTGTCCCTTCCTGCCACAGTTCCAGCATTCTATTTGGCTGGCGGCTATCGGTCTGTCTGGGGGCAGTCACAGCCATAAGGGCTGTTTGTTTTGTTGCGTGTATCAGAAATAGCCTCTACCCGCTGGCTACTTTAACTGTAATGCAGTGTGCAAGATGGGGAAGCAGCAGTATCTTGTGAAGGAGCGGTAAGTGGGGGCGCTGCTGCTGCATTGTGACAGTCTGGCTTTAGGCGAGAAGGACATTTACAGTTTCATTTGATGTGTCCCTTCCTGCCACAGTTCCAGCATTCTATTTGGCTGGCGGCTATCGGTCTGTCTGGGGGCAGTCACAGCCATAAGGGCTGTTTGTTTTGTTGCGTGTATCAGAAATAGCCTCTACCCGCTGGCTACTTTAACTGTAATGCAGTGTGCAAGATGGGTTGTAAACCATCCATAAAACAAGTAACAAAATGTCTGATAGACAGGGGGTCTGCTTCAGAGTATCCTAACGACTCCCAGCCTATCTGAAGGCGGGCAAAAAAAATCTTCCCACTGATTCCTCTTTATCTTGCACAATATCAGTGAGTCCCACCAAGGGTTAGCACATTCACATCTGTTACAAATCCAGTAAGGTTTCTGAGTAACTGGATTAGTAGTAGAGACAGAGACACAAAGGGTTTGTTTGAGAGACTTAGGGTCACTCTCATCCTTATCCGGGTTGCTGTGGGAGGCTGAGGATTAATTATTTCCCAGACTACCAAAACATTGGTAATAAGGTGTATCCTTTCTGGTGGTTTCCCTACATCCAGTCTTAGTTAGTTCAACTGCAGTATCATGCAATTTCTGGGCTGTCTCAACTAAATTATTAACTTCTAACCATCCTTGGTAATTAGCCACAAATTCTCTCCATATCTGGGGGTCCAAGGTGCCTTAGGAAGGCATGCCAGCTTTCTTTAAAAGTTTGTTTATATTCTTAACTGCATCTTTGCCTTTATGATGTTTCACTATAGTTAAAGCAGTGAATTCCTCCTGTGTACTTTGGGAATTACCCATAGTACCTATGAGACTGTAAGGGTTAAATACTCCCTTAACCAAGACAAGACTATACAATACAGTGTTTACACACTTAGGACCACTGCAGTGGAATTTTCACAGTCTTTGTCTTCTTATTCTAAACACATATCAGGAGATCTGCCTTGGAGGATTCTGACTCGAATTATAAAACAAATGACAAGGCAAACAATAAAAATAACTTGAAACCCACATATATATTCCACTATCTCAAGATTCCTTTCACAACATCCACCTGAATATAATCATAATACCACAGAAAACAAGTTTTTTGGATCTGACATTTTTAAGTCACTTCTTACCCAAACTGACTGCCAGGGACGTAGATCTGAGAGCAAAATTAAATAGGTAGAAAAGTTAAATATTTTTCTCACCTTGCTGCAGCTTTTTTCGCGGTCAGAGGAACGCCCGCCAGTACACTGGTGTCTGAGTATTTTTGACCATCAGATCCCGGGTCATGGCACCAAAATTGACATGGACAAAAGATCCAATACTTTTATTCAGGGGAACCCAAATTATATCAGGCACCTGGAGAAGCAATTAACACACGACACAAATGGTTGTAAGTCCAGAATTACTTCCTGTTCTTTTTTTCAAAGTAGGGTGTATTTATACACAATATTGTTGCAGCTTAGCTTGAAGGTTTAAAAATAAAGTTTAAAAATAAAGTTTAAAAATAAATAATGTAGTGAAAGATAGGAAAGTCAAAAGATAAAATTAGCTAATGTGCCTACATATTTCATAAGATATAAAATTAGCTTACAAAACAATATGTGGTTACATATTTCATAAGATAGGAAGGTCGCAGAGACAAAATTAGCTAGCAAACAATGTACAGTTTCTCAAAATAAGTGCTCCGGTGGGGGCTAGAATACACAGAGAATACAACTTATGCTGACACGTATACAGCATTTTACAGATAAAAAGTTCATTACATATAAAGAGCATCAGATGTAGGCCTTAATTTAATTACGCTGAACATTGGAATCAAGATATATTCCCTTACACTAGTGCTGCATAAACAGAAACAAAAGTGATTTGACTCCTAATTGTCAGAGAAATAAGCAGTGATACTGCAGGGGCAGGATCTATACAAACTGCTTGATTACGCTAAAGTTCTTTTGATGCCTACTGTGGCAGAACACCCAGTCACTTGTGCCAATACAAAGAATGGCTCCACACTCCCCGCCAACAAGGAGCCTAATCACTGTGACGCATATACCCTATGTCCCCCTTCTAGAGACATTGTCCCAGACCACTGGTCCTTCTCACCATCCCCTCCAAGCCCATGCACCAAGAGCAACCCTTCCTTTGCATCCAGGGAGCCCGAAGAGCAACGAGGACTGTAACGGGAGTTACCTACAACTTCTCTGGAACTCCGACCCAGATGCAGCTAACCCCCTCTCTCGGCCAATTTCACCCTGGAATACTTTTGGGAAGAGACAGTACTAGTGGTCGGTCAAATCTTTACCCTGGTGGCGATTACGCAATTCTGCATGGATCTGAGCACCTTTTTACAACTTGGGTGTTCGGATCAGAGCTATCAGGGAATGTATAACGTGGGGTGCCTGTGGGATTTTGTTATGTTTTTGGGGATATTTTGTGTTGTAACTTCTGTGTCCGGGGATAATTAGTTTAGGGAGAGATTACACAATGATCTCCCGGACACAGAGGCACCAGTGTGGGATCACTGTAATGTTGAATAGGGACCCCATGCTGGGGATCCATGTATAAATGACTGTGTTGGTGACAATAAAATCCTTCTCCCAGTATTAAGTCTTGACTAATGTATGGGGGAAATGGCTATAACACTGCTATACTCTACAGCTATACTGCAAGCTATAATCACTGTATACGGTGCTGTATGGAATACTTTAAAGGGGAAAGGAGACATACATACCTCCCAAATCTGGCATCCAGTTAAAGGACCACTATAGGCACCCAGACCACTTTAGCTTAATGAAGTGGTCTGGGTGTCTGGTCCAGCTAGGTTTAACCCTTTTTTCTATAAATGTTTATAATAGGGTTAATCCAGCCTCTAGTGGCTGTCTCATTGACAGCCGCTAGAGGCGCTTCCGCGCATCTCACTGTGATTTTCACAGTGAGAAGACGCCAGCGTCCATAGGAAAGCATTGTGAATGCTTTCCTATGAGACTGGCGGAATGTGCGCGCGGCTCTTGCCGCGCAAGCACATTCAGCCGAGGAGGCGGAGAGGAGAAGGAGAGCTCCCCGCCCGGCTCTGGAGAAAGAGGTAAGTTTAACCCCTTCCACCCCCTGTTCACGGCAATAGGAGCCTGCGGTAAGTACTGAAACAGTACTGCACTCAGTGGGCTGGCCTCAGTGATGGACAGGCAACCTGGTGTGTTGACCTGCTGTTAACTCTGTCAGACATACCCCTTTCTGGATGGAACTAGTGACAAATCTCATTTGAGTTAGGAGGTATGTATTGAAGTTTAAAAACAGTTTACTATTAGTGTTATTGCTATGGAGCTTTGTTATACAATCAAACAACAACACCTAGTGTAAAATCTGGTTTGGGAATCGATCGTCAACGTGAAATCTTCTTAATTTCTTCTTCTCTTCAGTTGATTGATATATACGTCTTTTGTATATATAGTCTTGGGCCGCATTAATATATGTCTATATTAATGAAAAGTACTAATACGCAATCTGACTTACGGTTTCTTCAGGTTTATTCTTAGTTACTGATACATAATAAAACAACAAAGGATGTTACAGGATAATGGACATTCAACAGCAGATGGTAATTGCTGGACTTCCGATAGGAGAGTTACATCTTGTACAGGAAGGAGAGCCAAGAGACCTGGTGTCTCTTTGTTCAGTTACTATATAGAAGTGCCCATAATGACGTCAGACTATAACTCTAGTCATATAAGGACAAAACCCCCAACTTACATTCCAGAGCTCTCATACAAAGAAAGCCTTGTGACTTATACCATCTGTTACTTATGTCAATCCAGACATCCATATATAATCAATAGAAACATAGGATATGTAATATTCTACACCTAGAAAAGAGGGACATTTAGGTTAGAAAAGTGGAATTTAAGTCCAAATATTGACTGCCCCTCTAAATAGGTACACTATAGGGTGTGAGTAAACTGAAGTTGGTATGGAATGTGGAACGTTATTGTAACCTGAGTTCCTATGCTTTTAAGGATTGCACTTTGTTAAAATATACATTCTACAAAATACACTATAGCAATGCAGAAATTGGGGATGTTGTACAATAAGAGCAGTTTCCATAGAGACAGCAATTTATTGCTAACATTACGTTCTATCACATTACAACTGGAATAGGGTGGTGACACCACGTGACCAGCTGACATTAACAACAACATCATCACGTGACCAGAGAACGCCACAGGATTACAGCCCGAAAAGAGAATACTGCGCGTTGCGTGTGGGTCCTGCGCATGCGCGTTAGGGCGGCGCGGCAAGCGAATCGGAAAGCGCGTTGGAAGAGAATTTTGAGTGTCTCCGGTTTTTGACGTAATCAGCAGCCGCCAGACTTCGTGTTGTGCTGCTTACTTTTCTGACTTCAGCATGTTCGTTGCAAGAAGCATTGCAGCCGATCACAAGGACCTCATCCACGATGTGTCCTTCGACTTCCACGGCCGGAGGATGGCGACCTGCTCCAGTGACCAGAGTGTGAAAGTGAGTGGGGGCAGAGGGGGAGAGCATGTGGCCCCCACACTGTCCACATCAGCCTTCACACGATCTGTCTAGCCCCAGTGGCTCCTTTGTTTTGGTCCCATATTTGCTGAAGTCACTGAATGTTATCATAGCAATGAGAGAAACATGTAAATGGATTTATTTAAAGGGACACTTTAGGCACACTGACCTGTTCATTGAAGCAGTCTAGGCTCAATGTCAGTGTCCCCCTTAGTCCTGCAGTGTGAATCAGTGTTTACATTGCAGGACTAAGACAGCCTCTAGTAGCTGTCAATTAGACGGCCACTAGAGGTGTTTCTGGGAGTTTACTTTTCCAGAGTTTACCTGACACCAGGTCGCCTAAATGACGCAGTACGTCCTCACATTATGCACGAGGAAATCCAGCGTCAGTAAAATGCTCATAGAAAAGCACCAATTTAATGTTTTCCTACTTGCAGGGCCTTATGCCCTTACAACACTCACCGCACCCTGCGGAGGGCCAACCCAGTGTCAGAGACATCAGGTGAGTTTAGTTGGTTTTTTTTGGTTTTTTTTTTTTAATAAAGGGACACTATAGTCACTAGAACTACAGCACAAATTTAAAATAAAGGAACACTAAAAGCACCATAGCAACTACTAATCCCTGTAGTGGTTATGGTGCCAGAAGTACCCTGATACCCCATTGATATCAGTCAAACTGTTTTAGAATGATTTGACTGATTATCTGGGGTCTATTAAGTGCTGCTCCCTGCTCACTTTTGCTTATGACAGACGGAAGCTCTCGGAGTTAAGACCAGTTGTACAAGGCAATCAGCGGATGCTTGCTCTGCGGGTTTAATTCAGGAGAGCTAACAAAAGCTCCTGTTTAAGAGCTCCAGCTCTTTGATACTACTAGTGTAGGTGGGAAACAAGGCCCAGTGCATCCAAGGTAAGAAGCTAAAACAGTTTCATTAACTACAGTAGCTGTCATGGTGCTCCTGACAGCATAACCACTACAGTGAGCTGTAGTAAAATAGCTTTAATAAAAAAAAAAATGTTTTATTTTTCTACAACTGTATGCAGTTTATTCACAAGTTCTTCTGCAATCATGAAGTGGTTGACGCTTTTGAGACTATCTTGCTTTTAGTATTTTTATTCAAACTGCTCTGCAACGTAATGAAAGCAACTGCACCATTTTTGGGGGGGGGTTTTCCGTTTTTTTCTCCATGTAGTTATGTCTACACTAACTCTCAATTTGCCTCTAAATTATATGTAAGAGTGTGTCAAAGATGGAGTGGGAGCACACACACGGCCCCCCCACTCTCCTTAGAAACTGTAATGTTTGCATTCAAGGATTATGTCTAGTGGCTTCTACTGCACTGACAGATATTAAATTGTGATGTGGAAGCCACTTATAAGAAAGCATTGATTTAATAATTGTATATGGGGAGGCTTGAATGAGCACGCAGCGCATGCTACACACGCGCTTTAGGTCCCCAATGTTCCTCTATGAGAAGCATTGGATTGGACATTACAAAGGAGGCCACGCGTCCTCTCAGATTTCGCAGGAGGCAGAAAAGTATGCCGAGCTGGATAAAGGTGAGTAAAACTTGTTGTTGTGTTTTTTGTAAATATTTTAATTTAATGTATGGGTCCTAAATAAGAGAAGGGACATCATAGCGTTAGGAATACAGGTTTGTATTCCTAACTCTCTAGTGTTTGGTGAATGTGTTTTTTTTTGTTTTTTTTTCTCTTTACGAATCCAATGAAATCATTAAAGGAACACAATTGTCACCAGTACAATTGCAGCTTAATATAGTTGTTCTGGGGAGTATGGCCTGTCACTGCAGTCTTTTTGCTGTAAACACTGTCTTTTCTGACATTCATCAGATGGCCACTGGTGGTGATTCCTGGGGCAACAGCACTAATGTTCAGCGTCTCTATGCTCTGCATGAAGAGGCTGAACTTTCCTCATAGAGATGAATTGATTCAACACATCTCTATGACGTGATGCTGATTATCAAAACTGGCATTTGGCTCTGACTCGCCATGGAGGCAGATTGGAGAGGGGGGGGTCTTAACATCATAGGGTCATGAATACACATTAATTTTCCTAATTCTAAAGTGTTCCTTTAATTAGAAAAATTAGTTGGTGCAGAGCTTGACATGGGCATATTATGGAGACCTAGAAATGGAGTCTGGAACCTTGCAGTTTGTCTACCTGCATACAAATCAATAGATCTCCCTGACTGGCACTCATTTTCTGAAAATAATCAAACAAAAGTTAAATTTTCAAAGACTGCTCTTGTGTTACCTGACACATTTGGCATGGATGCTTATTCTTACTAAGAGCTATGATGTAATCTCTCTAGCCAAACTACAGATATACAGTGAAAAAGCAAGAGAGGGAGCTAGTGGTGAATAGGTTTTAGCCTCCTATCACTTCTCTTTCCTTTGAACATTATGTGAGTGGGAGATGGGCCTGGCAACCAACCATGTAAGATTGTGGCTTTACATCCTTTCTGTTGCAGGCCCTTCTCGTAATGAATAGGAGGACGACAGTGAACTATTCCAAATAACATGATTTTATATTTTGTGGCCGATTACTACACATATTTTATTTTTTTTAATGTATTTTTTTTTTTTTTTAAAGCACAGGTGGTCCTCATTTAGGGACCTACCTGTTTTTACGATGGCTTGCACTTAGGACCAGGCGTTAGTGCGAGCCGTCGTTTGGATTCCCTGCTCTGGTGCTTATGTCTATGTTCGGGGAAGTTTCCCCAAACATAGACGAACACACGAGAGCAGGTAATCCCTCTAATCTATGTTCTGGGAAATTTCCCAGAGCATAGATTAGAGAGATTCTCTGCTCTAGTGCGTTTGTCTATGTTCGGGGAAGGTCCCCGAACATAGACGAACGCACCACAGCAGGGAATCCCTCAACCCCTCACTTACTGACCAATTCGTTCTACAACCGGGTCGTAGGAATGGAACCCAGTCGGTAAGTGAGCAGTGTCTGTACTGCATTAATAGAAATGTAATGCAATTTCCAAGTGTATGGGAATTGTTGACTCCACCTTCTTAGTCTAGATTTTATGGATTGTTGGTTTTTAATTTGTCTTTCCTTCTTGCTGTTGAATACCTGCTGGAAAAATAGTCACAAAAAAAAGTCACAATTTAGTGATTTTAAAAAAAAAAAATTTCTCTTTCTCTCTTTTAAAGGTTTGGGATAAAAGTGAAAATGGTGATTGGCACTGCACAGCAAGCTGGAAGGTAAACCAGATTTCATTCTAATGTTGAAAATTTGACTTTTGCTGTCTGCAATTCCTTGTAACACTAACATTTGTATGCTAGCCTTTGGACTATGCCAATAGTTTATAGATTGAGAATACTTTAATAAAGTAGCAGACCATTATTCTTTGTTACAGTATTCTGTAAATGGGCACATAGGATATCAAAATAAATTAGCTCATTGACCAACTGTGCATTTAAACTTTGTCAGTTGTGAAACCTATCTAATCTAACATTTGCTTTGGTGTTTTATTGATCAGTTCAACTTTGGTTACTATATTGTCTGATTTAAAGCATTCTTCCAGTCTGTGATGTGCATGTGTGTGTTGTTTGTCTTGTAGGCACTCTCTAACCACTGCTGCATTTTGAAGTGGTTTTTGGTGCAGTGATCCTTTCGAAGCAGTCAGTGCTTTTTATATCAATCCTTGACTATGGCATTGGGGAGTGCATTGCTCTGGGTAAAAAGACTTGGGGAATTATGAAAGCTAATAAATTGGGAAGCAGTTGTAATTTGTCTTTCCTATTATACACAACAACTCAACTGGATTAATGTTGAGTAGATAATACTCATTGAAGGGGAAAGCATTGGATTGGCTGAAATAATAAATTCTGATGTCCGAAAGGAGGTGGATTGGGGGTAGACCCACACAGCGCTGAAAATAAGGAAAGTTAAATTTTAAGGGGCAAAGGGGGGGAAAGCCATATAACTGGTGGTTTTAACATTAGTGTCAGGAATACTTGTTTGTGTTCCTGTAAGCACCTACATTTTAATGTTTTGGTTTGGTGTAAAGACCATCTCTTTGCACCGTATCAAATGTAAGCATTGCTGTCTTGAAGAAATGGCAATCTTTACATTTGTCAATAAGGGTGCCTCAAATGACTGTTAATCAGCTACTAGAGGCACTTTGTTATTGGAGATTTTTTGAAGTCTTCCTGTTTGGCGTTGAGCTCTGTGAATGCTTCTCAAGAAACATTGTATTTAGTGCTTTTCTAGGAGAAAAAAATGGGGATTGGGGGCACACTCAAAACATGCATTTCACAGCAGGGGTGACACTATCAAGACCTAATTATATACAAAATACAGATTAAAGGACCACTCTATGCACACAGACCACTTCAGCTTAATGAAGTGGTCTGGGTGCCAGGTCCAGCTAGGGTTAACCCATTTTTTTATAAACATAGCAGTTTCAGAGAAACTATGTTTATAAATAGGTTAATCCTTCCCCCAAAGCCTCTAGTGGCTATCTCATTGACAGCCGCTAGAGGCGTTTGCGTGCTTCTCACTGTGAAAATCACAGTGAGAGCACGCAAGCGTCCATAGGAAAGCATTGATAATGCTTTCCTATGCGACCGGCTGAATGCGCGTGCATTCAGCCGATGGGGAGGAACGGAGGAGGATCGGAGGAGTAGAGCTCCCCGCCCAGTGCTGGAAAAGGGTAAGTTTTACCCCTTTCCAGAGCCGGGCGGGAGGGGGTCCCTGAGGGTGGGGGCACCCTCAGGGCACTATAGTGCCAGGAAAACGAGTGTTTTCCTGGCACTATAGTGGTCCTCTAAAGAACAGTGTACACAAAAAACTGTTCTATCTAACAAGGCTACTTAAAATCATTTATCTTGGCAAACAAATATGGAGATTCAGTTACACTATATAGTATTAAAGGAGCACTATAGTGCCAGGAAAACAAGCTCTGAGCCCCCCTGCTGCTGGGCTGAAGGGGTTGAAACCCTTTCAGCCACTTACCTTTCTCCAGAGCCGGGCTCCCTCTGTGCTAAGGAACTCTCCACCCCCTTCCGACGTCGGATCCGAATGCGCATGCACGGCAAGAGCCACGCGGGCATTCACACCGCCCATAGAAAAGCATTACTCAATGCTTTTACTATGGCCGTCAGTGTCTTCTCACGGTGATTTTCACAGTGAGACTCGCGGAAGCGCTTCTAGCGGCTGTCAGTGAGACAGCCACTAGAGGTTGGATTAACCCTCAGTGAAACATAGCAGTTTCTCTGAAACTATGTTTTTGTCTGCAGGGTTAAAACTAGAGGGACCTGGCACCCATACCACTTCATTGAGCTGACGTGGTCTGGGTGTTTATAGTGCCTTTTAAGCCCACCACTGTCACAGTATGCCTGCATCTGTGGGTCCTAAATGGAATTTAAACATGGGAGATTAATATGCTAACTGCAATTCTTACTGCTTAAAGGAACACTAGGAACCCAGACCACTTCAGCTCATTGAAGTGGTCTGGGTGCACTTTCTCTATTGCCTGCACTATAGTATTCCTTTAAACTGTTTCTATTGACACGCCTCAAATTTATGCTTTCAAAATTTAAGCAGTAAGTATGGCAGTTAGCATGTTCTTCATCCATGTTTATTGTAGGATCCACCAATATTGCGGTGGTGGACTTAACATGCGTGATGTTTGGGGAATAAAGAGTGGGACGCGACTGTCAGGTGAGTATTTTGGGAATATTGAGCTTGCCAAAAGAAGTGAAGCTTGCCTTAAGCTCCACCCTTTTGTCTTCTGTAATTTTTCTAAGCTTGACAAAGTAATCCTCACTTTGTCTTCTGTATCTTACATAAAGAGTATTGAAATTAGAGAAAAGGAGACCATGTTTGGAGAAAGGGGGTAGAGGAATTTATTCAAGGTAAGTACCGTGTGACTGTGCTATTTTAAGGGTTTAAGTTTTCAGTTGTCTACCTAGTTCTCTTACAACTGGTTTATATCACTTTTATTTATTTTTTTCTCTTCACAGACACACAGTGGTTCTGTGTGGCGGGTAACTTGGGCTCATCCAGAGTTTGGACAGGTTTTGGCTTCATGTTCGTTTGACAGAACAGCTGCTGTGTGGGAGGAAATTGTTGGTGAATCAAATGATAAATTACGTGGGCAAAGTCATTGGGTAAGACCTCTGCAATTAGATTTTCTTTCCTTACAGTTAATTCTTGTTATGTTTCTAAAAATAATATTTAAGACAATCAGAGTTTGTCTTGCAAATACAGCCTTTAGTTTATGTAGTTAATTGTTATTTTAGCAGCAGACAGAACTCTGTAAACCCAGTAAAAATCATTAGGAGCTTTTCAAAATTAAAGTTACAATAAGTGCTGTAGAATATTCTAAAAATAATAAACATGCATGTAAATAGACAAACACATGCAGCAAATATAAAACTATAGGTAGTGTACACAATTATGGTGCATCACCCATAAATAAAATTTTAGTGGAGACTAACATATAGTGCTGGTCTCACAATGATAAGACTGTGGGATTTAGTGAACATGTGTCAGTGACATTTTTTTATAGAGTTGATTACCGGACAATTAGAAAAAAAGGGGTTGGGGGAGGTCAAGGATAAGATAGGGGATAGTGGAAGCAGGGTGGTGGTTCAGGGAGGCAAGGGTGAATCCTTTATAAAGTAAAAAGTGGCCACTTGAGTATATTTTAGAATGGCATTTGAAGGATTAGTCTGTATCACATATACCTTCTTAATGCATAATTATTTCTGTGCAATTTCATGCAGTTTCAATGATTTAGATGCGCTCATATTTGCTCCATAGAATTTTAATAAAATGATCGTAATTTAACTTGTCCAGATTTTTTGTATTCTTATGACATTTTTCATCTAAATTATTTATTTCTAAATACTCAGGTTAAGAGGACAACACTTGTGGACAGTAGAACCTCCGTTACTGATGTAAAATTTGCTCCAAAGCACATGGGACTGATGTTGGCAACATGTTCAGCAGATGGTGTAGTGAGAGTGTATGAAGCACCTGATGTGATGAACCTGAGCCAGTGGTCTCTGCAGCATGAAATCTCTGGCAAGTTGAGCTGCAGTTGCATCTCCTGGAATCCTTCCAGGTTAGCCGATCTTCACACTATATTCTATTTCATATCCTTGCTAGCTTGCATTTAATTATCTAGATTATAAAATTTGCTTTGGCAATTCCTTAAAGAAACAATCCAGGACAACATGCAGTACAGTGAGGGGGGGTGTATTTGATCCCCTGCTGGTTTTGAACATGTGTCCACTGACAAAGAAATGATCAGTCTATAATTTTAATGGTTGATGTAAATTAACAGTGAGAGACAGAATAATAAAATAAAAAATCCAGAAAAATGCATGTCAAAAAAGTTATAAATAGTTTTCCATGTTAATGAGTGTAATAAGTATTTGATCAGCTATCAGTCAGCAAGGTTTCTGGCTCCCAGGTGACTTTTTTATTTTATTTAGTTAACAAGCTGAGATTAGGAGCACTCTCTTAAAGGGAGTGCTCATAATCTCAGCTCGTTACCTGTATAAAAAAAAAAAAAACACCTGTCCACAGAAGCAATCAATCAGATTCCAAAGAGCTGTCCAAGGATGTCAGGGACAAGATTGTAGACCTACACAAGGCTGGAATGGGCTACAAGACCATCACCAAGCAGCTTGGTGAGGTGGTGACAAAAGTTGGTGCTATTATTCACAAATAGTAGAAACACAAAATAACTGTCAGGCCCGTCTGAAGTTTGCCAATGAACATCTGAATGATTCAGAGGAGAACTGGGTGAAAGTGTGAGACTAAAATCAAGCTCTTTGGCATCAACTCAATTTGCCGTGTTTGGAGGAAGAGGAATGCTACCTATGACACCAAGAACACCATCCCCACCGTCAAACATGGAGATGGAAACATTATGCTTTGGGGATATTTTTCTGCTAAGTGGACAGGACAACTGCACCACATCAAAGGGACAATGGATTTGGCCATACACCGTCAAATCTTGGATGAGAACCTCCTTATCTCAGCCAGGGCATTGAAATGGGTCGTGGATGGGTATTCCAGCATGGCAATGACCCAAAACACACAGCCAAGGCAACAAAGGAGTGGCTCAAGAAGAAGCAGTGGTCTAGCCAGTCTCCAGACCTTAATCCCATAGAAAATCTGTGGAGGGAGCTGAAGGTTGAGTTGCCAAATGTCACACTTGAAACCTTAATGACTTGGAGAGCATCTGCAAAGAAGAGTGGGACAAAACAATTTACAACTTTTTTTGACATGCATTTTTCTGGATTTCTTTTTGTTATTCTGTCTCTCAATGTTAAAATACACATTACCAATACCATTAAAATGATGGACTGATTATTTCTTTTTCAGTGGGCAAACGTTCAAAATCAGCAAGGGATCAAATAATTTTTCCCTTCAGATTAAAGGCAGTGCTTTACAACAGGTAATTTCATCACCTGGAGGGAAAAAAACAGGCAGGCAATCTCCCAAACTTTTCATGAACCTCCCCCAATTAACCTTTGGCCTTATAAATTGCTTCCTACCCAATACATCCCCAGTTCTTTGCCTGCCTCCGGCAGAGAAGGGTGTCAGGTTCCGGTTTTCTCCCTAGAAGTATGGTGAGAGGGCTGAGGCTCTGGAGGCTCTACTTTTTTAAAATAAATTTTTCAGAGGTCGGCCAGGGATAACACACCAGACGGCTGTATCTCCCCGTGTTGTATAACTTCCGTCTACACCGAGCCAGGTGCCAGGCAGATGATGGTGCGCATTTGGGCACTATCTGGGAAGTCCTGGCGGCGTAACACTCGTACAGGTTACATTTATTTCCACCGTAGAATCGCGAAATGCAGCACATGGGTAATGCAATTTAAAATTCAGGCGCCAATATCTTTATTTTTTCTTTCCATGGTCAAGATGTTAGTTTCCAGGACTTAGACAGGCTGTTTACCCAGCAGCAACTAACTGTTGCCAGGTGCACTCAGAATCTGTTGCAAGTGTGTTCTCACCAACCTCCAACACACTCTGAGGACATTTAAGGTGAGCCTTTTTGCTTTTATCTTAAATGACTCTAGCCTGAATAAGTTAATAAATTATCTGTGCTGCAAGATGGATAAGCTAAAAAAGCGCATATGTTTCTAAGTTGGAGAGTTTTTTTTAAGCTTCTCCTCACTTAAAGATTATTCCTAAAATCTTAAAACAAATAGTGCTTTGAAAGTGTAAGCACTTAGTAGATCGGGCCCATAATAGATTATTCTTTGAGTGAAGTCTATAAAGGGTATTAGATAAGAATATACTTTTACATAATTCTATTTGGTAAATTTTAAGTTTCCTTTCTGGCTCAAAATAGCTGCTACACAGTGATTTAGTTAATATGGGTTTCAATATCACTAATTGTTGCAACAGGGTCAGTAATTAAAGTGAAGTGTGGAATATATTCACAGGAGCAAGACCCGTATGACTATTGGAGGATTATCCTCTGTATGTTATCCTTAGGAGGCTGATATTAAATATCTGGTTTTGGTTAAGTTAATATACTGTTGTAGCAGATGGATTCTTTAAATGCCAGGATCCTAGCCGCAGTGTTTATTTTCTTAAAACATGCAGTATGCTTTTAGCAATTGCTGTAGACAAAGCTCGGTTGCAATTTGCATTTTCACCACCTCAACTAGTTTCACCTGATATCAGTTTTTTAAAAAGGTAGTCTGTTTTTCAGCTGGGGCAGAACTTTTCCTGTGCTTCACTCCATGGTTGGCACATTTTATGTTTTTGTCTTACATTCCAAGTAGTATGTTGTCAGTTACAAGGACAGGTTTCAGCTAACTGACTGTTGGAATGGCATTTTTAAAGAAAATGCTTCCTAATATTGATTCCTGCAGAGTTTGCATCAAACAGGTTTTTAAATGCAGTTGCAGCTATTCTGTCTGCTCTAGCTTCTGCTTCCCAAATACGGCTAAGGAAAGCCTCTATCCGGTAAGGCCGATGGTTGGAATTTAAAATTTATAAGATTGCTTACTAAAATTGGTTCCTGCATAGTCTGGATCAAACAGGGTTTGAAATGCAGTTTGCAGATATTCTTTCTGCTCTAGCCTCTGCTTCCCAATTATGGCTAACTAAGGCCTGGATCATGGGTATTGTCTTATGCAGACTGTATATCTATGTAATCAGTCTCGCTTCGGCCAATAAAGATGGTAACCTGTATGAACTAGTCTCCATGGAAAATTATTTCTTCCTCACGTTACTGGGCTTGAAGCTAGTTCTAGAACAGCTGCAGGCCTATTGATCAAGGTGTAGTTATCACGGTATGATAGGGATGGTTTATTACCTAGGTTTGTTTGAAAGAAAGAGCTTATGGCCACTTAAGATTTTCTCACTATGCAAAATGTTGCCATCCATAAATTTGTTGAATCTCTACAATACTGCTTCCTCAGGGGCACCTAATTAATTTTTGTACACCAGCCCCTAAAGGTTACGGTGTTTTTCTACTGCATACAGGTGGATGCTAATCAATCTTCTGATAAAGAATTCCCTTTACAAGAAGTGTGCAGTTCTGGTGTTTGTCAAGGAACAGTTCAGATGTAAAAATTTTGACAAGGGTTTTTGATTCTCAGAAAATGGTAATTCCCTGAAGAAAAAAATTGTGGTTCTCTGTCCTTATCACCTGAAATCTCTCTTCTACTTCAGTAGACAAGATACTAGGGAAATATTATTGGTTACCGTCTTGTAAGAACCTGCTTGGTCTCTTCAGCTTCTTTAGGCATAGCACTGTTTACAGGTCCTTCAGAGGCCAGATACAGTTGCTGATAAGATTTTGCAGTCAAATCCTAAACTTCGGTCATTCCTTTCTGAACCAGGCAGAAATTAAGGATGCCAGACGGTTCTTACTTTTTGTTCTAGTTCTCAAATTGATCGTTCAGAATGTTACGACTGATGCTTCAGGTCTCAGTAGGTTCTCAGAGGGTTGAAGGGAAATTAGCAGAGATAATTTGAAAAAAACTTATCCAACTACATAGGACTAAAGGCTATCTGGCTAGCTCTCTTTGCCTTTCAGATAAAGACCGGGTATTATCTGGTTGGATAGTTCTACATCGGTAGCAATTATGTACAAACAAGGTCATTTTGTTTGAAAAATCTTGTTCCAGGATATGCTTGGGTTAGTTTTTCTTAGGTCTATTCACTTATGCATGGAACTTAATATTCCTCTATTTAGCTGTAGCATTTAGTAATCAACATTTAATACAATGCAGATTGGTTCGTACTCCCTGATCTATACCCAAACGATAGGAAGAATTTGATTATCCAGTTATGGAACTGGGACTTCTAGATTAAACAGCATGAAGTGTTTAATGGGACAAGCTTGGACAAACCAGTAAGCTTTGGTTTCCTTTTCTTTCTTGGGAATTCCAGTCTAACCTATCCTCCTGGTTCCATATTCCCCAAGATCCTATAGGATGGAAAAAGTGAGCATGATAGTCTTCCTCCCTTGGTGGCAAGTAGCTGTTTCACCATTCATCTAAAATTATCCGGAGGAATCTGGGGACCTTACCTGTAAATAGGCATCCTGGAATTCTCAAGGGTACCTCTTCTCAATTTTGTAGTAATTCAAGCTGACGACCTGGTTTATGTATACCAGATACTGAAGGATAAGGTTTTGTCTCAGGAAATTATTGACAATTTTTTACTATAAATGGATCTTGTTCCAAGATTTATTCCAAGTATGGAAGGTGTTGTTTTTTAAGATATTGGTTCAAAGAAAAGCAGGCATCCGCTTCCAAGTTTTTAACCTCCCCCTTTTTTTTTTTCTTCTTCTTCTTCGGTTGGGCTTTGCGGAAGGTTTAAAGCCAGAGATCCTCAAGGTCAAATTTCGGTTATCAGTTGATTTTCAGAGGTTTTTCTCCAAACCAACAGTATCTGCTAGGCTCTTTCGTGGTTAGTTCCTATCTTCAGGGAATCTTTTCCGCAAGGGATCTTCTTTTGGGTTTTTTTTAACTCTGCTGATTGGAGTCTTCACTCTAGGTCTTTGGGGGTAGTCGCCCAAAATATTTTTGGGAAGAACTTCAAGTTCTTCAAGTTTCCATTTTCAGCAGGAGAAAGTGGAGTCAAGCTGGATTCTTTAATTCTTCTCAATCTTCCATCTATCATTATTTTTCTAACTTTTCCCAACAGCATTCTAGGGTCTTGGAATTCTAATTCCACTGCCTGGGCGTTTAGTTCTCGTATACAGTACCTTAAAGGTCTGCATTGGTTTCGATATTTTTTTTTCTTTTTCTCTTATCTAACACCTATCTCCATTGAAGCTCCTTCGATCACAGTTATGTTCAGATCAGGTGCCTGAGGGCTTCTGCTATACATTCTCTCTAATTCCTAACAGCCACGAGGTGATCTCTTCACTCATTTTGGTCTGTTGACCTTGGAAGATAAAACTTTGGTCGCAGGTTTTTTGCAGTGAGAATTGAGTCCCGCCCTAAGGGATTGCTTTTGGATATCCCAGTTGTAAAGCACTGCTTCTAATCTGAATGGAAAAACAAAAATTTTTACTTACCGTAAATCTATTTTTCCAGAAGATTAGAGGCAGTGCTCACACCCCCCCCCAACCCCCACATTTTTTAATAGCCTGAGTGGTACGGTTATTTGGCTTTTGTAATTTCTGGGGATGTTTTGGGTAGGAAGCAATTTATAAGGCCAAAGGTTAATTGGGGGAGGTTCTTGAAAAGTTTGGGAGATTGCCTGCCTGTTTTTTCCATCCAGGTGATGAAATCCCAGTTGTAAAGCACTGCCTCTAATCTTCTGGAAAAATAAATTTACGGTAAGTAAAAATTTTTGTTTTTTCCCCCTCACTATATATAGCCTGTGACATAAGCAATAATGTTTTGTTTGTTTCATTTTAATAGCGTTTGGAAATGACTTTGCATTGTAATCCTACTTCTTCTTTCCCGCCTCCGCACATCCGTTTCCAATGCCCCTTTATGAATTGCATTAAATTTGTCAATTGGCCAGATGAAGGCACAGCAGCCAACAGCACTGAGGCAGTCTTGGCACTGGGAAAAGGGAAGTAAAATGCTTTGTTTTAGGTTTTTAGATTTTCTTTGTTCTTCTGCTCCTCCTTTTTGAAGGTTCATTTAACTTTTTTTTTTTTTTATGACGATATTTGATTTTTGTGGGATGTAAGTGGCATAATATCAATATATTATACATGGTACTTTTTAAAAATTTGATATATATATTTTTATTGTGGACCCAGTACATACTTGAAAACGAGAGAAATCTGTCTCCTTCCTGGTAAAATATTTTAGAAATAAAAATAATTTTGTATAAAGTATTAGATTGTAGGGTATTCATTTATCTTTCAATACTCAATTTGACAAAGTTGTCTTGTTAAAATGTTTTTTTTAATTTTTTTTAATTTTTATTTTTTTTAATTTTATTCCCACCTTCCCAGTTCGCGAGCTCATTCTCCAATGATCGCAGTTGGTAGTGATGACAGTAGTCCCAATATTATGGGAAAAGTCCAAATATATGAATACAATGAAAATACAAGGTAAATGTGTCTAGTTTCTTCTGGAGAGTGTGTTTTAATTTGCATTGTGTGAAGTCATGTTGTAATTTAAATGAGTATATCAATGTAACTTACAAACTCTGATGTCCCCTGTCAGCTTAATTATACAATTGTTCAAAATCTAACTTTTATACAAATGTAGTTACCTTTTAAAGATATTAGTTGCCCTCCTTTACTAATCTGCTCTTTGACAAATGTAAAGTAGTCAGAGCTTATTTCCTATAAGATTATCATTGCAGCTCTAAAACTGTTGCTTTGGTGTCTCTTGTAACATATTGCTGTGTTTTTTTGTTTAATAATTTGCTTTCTGTTTGTAGGAAATATGTAAAAGCAGAAACATTTATGACTGTCACAGATCCTGTTCATGACCTCTCCTTTGCTCCAAATCTGGGACGATCTTTCCACATTCTTGCTGTTGCTTCAAAAGATGTTAGAATATTTACCATGAAACCCTTAAGGTGGGTTTGTGGGAATGCTTAAACTTCCTTAACAAGATGTAACAGAAAATAGAGAATGTTTTGCAATCAGTATGGTTGTTTAGGCAATTGACTTAGCCATGCATGTGTGTCCCTATGTATTTCTACCATCTCAAGATGAATGGAGTTTCCTGTCTGCGTATTTTCTTTGCTCCTTCATTTGTACTCCTGGTTTTATGCACTATGTGAAGATGTGCCTGCACAAGCTAGACATGAAGCGAGATATGAAACTAATATGGCTACATTACCCTGAACAAGGGTGCTGCTGGGGCCAATTAATAAAACATACAGGATCCAGCACACTAATTAACCCCTTCCCGACCTCGGACGTGAAGGGTATGTCCGACAAAAAAACGGAAGTTAATGACCACGGATGTACCCTGTGCGTCAGTGGCTAAAATGACCCGGGTACTCGCCTGGACCGGCGATCTGTGGCCAGGTCGACTGCCCGAGACACCAGCAGTCCCGCTTCTGTAGCTATGGGCCTCCAGGGCCATGTGATCACCATGATCACATGGCTGCAATGGAAGTCTATGGAGCTGCCAGCAGGGGGACTGCCTGAGCAATCATAACCAATAAATCTCAATAAAAATAATGTGCCAAATTCGTTATGTTGCCTTTGAGATTGTATGGTAGCCTAGGAATAAGAATTACCCCATGATGGCATACCTTTTGCAAAAGTAGACAACCCAAGGTATTGCAAATAGTGTATGTCTAGTTTTTTCTAGTAGCCACTTAGTCACAAACACTGGCCAAATTAAGCATTCATATTCTTTTTTTGCATTTTTCACACACAAACAAATATAAATGCTTACTTTGGCCAGTGTTTGTGACCAAGGGGCTACTAAAAAAGACTGGACATACCCCATTTTGAATACCTTGGGTTGTCTACATTTGCAAATATTATGCAATAAGGGCGTTAATTCACATTCCAGGGCTACCATATGGTCTCAAAAGGCAACGTAGACCAAGCAAACCAAACACCATAAAACATGTACATGGGGCGTATTGTTATACTCCAGAGACTTCGCTGAATACAGATGAGTTTTTCAAAACCGTAAAACTTATCACAACGATGAAATCACCAGTAAAAGTGCAGTTTTTGTTTTAAAAAAAACGCAAAAAACAAAAACGCTAACTTTGGCCAGTGTTCATGACTAAGTGGCTACTACAAAATACTGGACATATTGCATTTTGTTTTTGAAAGTTACAGGGTCAAATATAAGGCTAGCCAATTTCATTTTTATTCATTGCCAAATTGGTTGACTTTGAGACTGTATGGTAGCCCAGGAATGAGAATTACTCCCATGATTGCATGCCATTTGCAAAAGTAGACAACCCAAGGTATTGCAAATAGAGTATGTACAGTTTTTTTCTAGTAGTCACTTAGTCACAAACATTGGCCCAAGTTAGCGTTCATATTAATTTTTTGCATTTTTTACACACAGACAAATATAAAAGCAAAATTTTTCCAGTGTTTGTGACAAAGTGGCTACGAAAAAAGACTGGACATACCCCATTTTGAATACCATAGGCTGTTTGCCTTTTCAAATGGTATGTCATGGTGGGGTTTATTTTAAATTCTGGGCTGCCATACCGTCTCAAAGACAACAGTCTGGCAAATGGCAGTTTACAAAAAAACGAAATTGGCAAATCTTATGTTTGACAATGTAACTTTCCAAATAACCATAAAACCTGCACTTGAGGGGTACTGTTGTGCTCGTGAGACTTTACTCCACACAAATATGTTTTAGAGCAGTAATATGTATTATACTGATGAAATGGCAGTTTATGTGTAAAAAAAAAAAAGGTTTAAAAAAAACGAAATAAATATAAACGCTAATTTTGGGCAGGACTTGTTACTAAGTGGCTACTAAAACTGGACACACCCCATTTTGAATACCATGGGTTGTCTACTTTAAAAAAATATATGGTTTGATGCGGGTAAATTACATTGGCCAGCTTCAGAAATGTCCCAAATAGGACATGGGTGCATGATGACCAGCTGTGAAAATTCCAAGTTTGAAAACTGGAATGCGCACCCTCCAAATAAGGTATTTTAGCCCCCAGAGAACCTGACACACCTATACCTATTGGGGTATCACTGTACTCAGGAGATGTTCCTGAACACATATTGGGGTGTTCTTTGGCAGTAACCCGTAAAGTTCTCAGTACATGTATTCTTAAATTGCTATGTGTGTCAAAAAAATCCCCAATTATTTTTTTTATTTTTTTTAAATTTGGCATAAATTGGTGGCATGAAAAGAGTCAAAATACCCCAAGTTTAATACCTTAGCTTGTCTTCTTTTAATATATATACATGAAGGGTTATTCAGGGATTCCTGACAGATATCAGTGTTACAATGTAACTTGCGTTAATTGTGAGAAAAAAAATTGGGGAAATAACAAAGTGCTAGTTGTACTTCTAGCCCTATAACTTAAAAAAAAAAAAAAAGGCTAAGAACACGTTAACATTTGGGCATTTGTAAACTTACAACAATATTTACAAACTATTTAGCACGGGTGTTTTTTGGCGGTTGTAGATGCATAACAAATTTTGGGGGTCAAACTTAGAAAGTGTTTTTGTGTTTTTTTTGTTTTTGTTTTTTTTAAATGCATCGTGTGTGTGTATATATAATATGTGTGTATGTATGTATATGTGTGGGGTTTTTTGTGTTTTATTTAATAGTAAATTTATATAAATTTGAAAATAATAGTATCTTTTAGACCATTTAATGGCGAGAAAAACAGTATATAATATGTGTGGAAACAGTAAATGAGTAAGATGAAAATTACAGCTAAACACAAACGCCGTAGAAATAGTCCTGGTCCCAAATGGCAATAAAATTGAAAAGTGGTCTGGTCACTAAAAGGTTAATCTCCAACTTCAAAGCTTTAAAACATAACAAACTATAAATTTGTGTGAGCTTAGAAGTTGGGTTTTAGTTAGTGTGCTGGATTTTGTATGTTGTATCAAATGAGATAGACAGGCCAGTCTTTTGTTTAGCACAGTACTAAGCTGGTCTGTAGAGTTGACATTCCCCCAACTAGTCTGAAGATGTGGGCTTTTGCTTCAAACTGCTGATGCATGAAAGTCTTTCAATTTATATATCATCTTTCTCCATTGTGTTAATGCTGACTAAAAAAAAAAGAATCTACTATTTCATCCGCCAAACTAAAAACAAAAACTATGGAACTTTTATTACAAATTTTAAATAAACACTACAAAAAGATTCTCTAAATAGCTTTGTTTGCAGTTAATGTTTTTGTTTCATTATTTTGCTATTTCTAAAGGATTGTATTTATTTTTGGGGAATTTTCTCAAAGTTAAACAAAACTGAATTGAACCGTCTTGAAAAATATTCATGTAGGATGAGGAGTAGAATTTCCCTTCAACTGCAACATTTGTTTTCCTTTTCATCCACCGCTTTTATGTGATTACTTAATGTTCCATTATCTTCTTTAATATAGGAAGGAGCAGACCTCTTCTGGAGGTGTGACAAAGTTTGAGATTCACACAGTGGCTCAGTTTGATAACCACAACTCTCAGGTATGGAGAGTGAGTTGGAACATCACTGGTACTGTTTTGGCATCATCAGGAGATGATGGAAGTGTACGATTGTGGAAAGGTAATTCCAATGTGACTATTGTTGGGACACCAAAAACCATTTGTATGTTCACGCTAGCTATACTGCAGCAGAGCATAAGCAATTTAAAGGAACACTCAAATTACAATGGCCACATACCCCTAGCTCATTGGTTCAGAGTGTGAGGGGATTACTTTTGCAATAGACATCCATTGAAATTTTTCAATGGGTCTCTAAACAGGTTTTATTAACTCCTCTTTAATGATTAACTCTATTGCTGTGTATTGTGTTTACCTATAATTTTGCTAATTCTGTTCTTATTATTGAAAACCTTTTGAAATTTTAATTGCTTTAAAAAAAATCGAATGGATTTATTAGAAATGTCACTGCTATTGCATTTAGGGGAATGTTGTGCTGCTACATTTTTATTTACACTTTGTTGTGAGCCATTTTATGCAGTACTTAAACTATATATTACGAGAATGTGCTTGGGTCAACCAGTGGGTACCCATTGAATATTTGTCATGCCTAGAGGTGCCATCTACACAGGGAAGACAAAATATTTTTGAGGTGTTAAAGACACAACTTTTGAAGTGTTAAGAACATATGTAAAGAGTAAATAGAATGTTATAGTCGAATTGCACCTCTTAAGAAGAAATAATTTGTGATACTGATTAAGTATAAAGCAGTTCATTTAAAAAAAAAAAAAAAAAAACACACTTGCTGTACGTGTGAAACGTTGTGCCTTCCATTTGTAGAGTGCATTTTCAATTTTCTGACCGTTTTAGTTCACTTTTGTATGTTGAGATTGTGAGAGAACCACTTTTTTTTCCCCCCTCTAAATTAGAATTAGTAATTTGAGGCTTGCCTTTTATTCACTCATTTGTGGACTAGTTGTCATGCCTGCTTGAGGTGTTAAGAACAATTGATGTCGGAAAACTGAATACAGGTGTGTCCGCTCTCTGGGATCCGATAATCTAAATTGTATTATTCAGAATACATGTTTGCTAGAGTGTTCCTTTGAGCTAATACAATCTGTCCCTTTCGTTTTTTTTGTTTTTTTCCTGATTTCTACATTTTGGACAAAGTAGAAGTTGACCAACTTTTCTATGTTTTTAATTAAACTTAAAAAAAAAAAAAAAAAAATGTAAATCCCCATTGTATTCATTATTACATTAGCAAACTACATGGACAATTGGAAGTGCACTGGCGTTCTAAAGGGAGATGGGAACCCAGTAAACCCATCCCAGCAAGGATTCATGGGTTCTTCCTTTGGATCAACAAATCAGAGTCTTCAGAATTCTGTGAATGGTTCAGCATCCAGCAGGTAAGGCCTGCATTTTTTTAAATAATCATAAATGGAACCATTTATTTTTGAGTTTATTAAATGGAGTCCCACCAATTTATTGCTGCATTACAGCTCTCATCACTTTCACCTAGCCAAGGGTTGATTGGTGTGCTCTTTAAATAACTGTTCATGTTTCAGTATCTCACTTTATATGTTGTTTACTAATCTAAGCAAAGAGCAACTCTACATTCTCAATAAATTGGGCTCCTACTTCGTTTTTTTTAAAGTTTTGCAACATACAACTGTACCCAAGCTTTCCAGTTTCCATCCAAAAATATAATTCTTTGAAAATAAACCTTATGGTTGAATCACAGTATTTTTTTTCAGAAATTACATTATTGTATCCACGCTCCATGTTCGTATAATTCCTAAACTTGTTGGACCCTTGTTATCATAGATATACGGCGCCACATACTGGGCTTTAGGAGTCTTTTGTGGCAAGTTCGGTTCCTTGAGCATGTGTGCTTCATTTATCAGTTCTGCCCAGTCTTTGACAGAAGTGGTGAAGGTGCATTAGGAGCTGGGTTGCTCCCAAAGTGTAACAAAAGTCCAGGTGATGTTGTTCCACAGGAGATCGTGGTCACACATTTTGAAAAATATTCTCAGCCCATTAAATATTTACTTACAAATATCTCTGCACATTGGTTTTTACTTAATTTTTCTGGTGCAGCTAGACATGACTTACATTTTTAACGTTAGGTTACCAAAAAGCATCTGTAAATTTGAGAGTTGGAATTATAGTATAAATCATGAGGACTAGCCTTGGCACTGCCTTTGTTTATATGCATTTTCTGTGATGCTTGATCAGACTGAAGAGTGGTTCAGGATTGTGGGAAATATATTTCACAATGATCTCAAGTGACAAGGCTAGCCATAACTGGTTTTATAGTTACTGTCAAGCTCTTTTGTAAGTATGTTTAATGTTGCAGAAACAGCAGCCATAAAGCTTCTTTAATAATACTTAATGTGGATATCACACACTCAAGAGTCCACTTAACTGATTTGCACTGTAGAGTTGCTCAATCTTGTCTCTGTTTACAAGTAACAACAAAAATAAATTTTGTCCGTCTGCAAACTTAAAACAGGTACAATATAGCGAAGTCCTGATATATATCTGCGTTTTTTTAAAACTGATACTTCAAATAGTAGCCAGTACTATTCGTACTGCCAGCTCATCTTTGTGATCTGTAGACCTGAATGGAAAGGAGATGACTTTACTGCGGTCATCTTTAACACATTTTCAAAAGGGTCTAGCACGTCATTTTGGTTTTCTGTGATTTTAATTAAACCAGTATGACGGCATACGTCATTTTGATCAAGCATTACAACTGCATAAAATATCTGTTGCTGCTTAGAGACTCTAGGATATTTTGCTTCTGCATTGAAATGGCAGATGCCATTGTTTGTGTCCCCCAACTAAAAGCATGGTTAATACATTTTAAAAAATGAGTTGGACATGATCAGATCCTAGTCTGCTGTTTGTGTGGTACTGACACAAAACAAACCACAGCTTAGCTACAGTTTCAGTTTTGTATGTGTATTCTTTTCAATATAAAATTTGTTGATGCTAATGAATATAATCAGAACCAAATCCACATTTTTGCTTCTGAAAATAACCCTGTTTATATGGATGATACCTATATTTTGCCATCTCAGTTTGTATTATGTCCTTAACAGAAAGCACAGCTGATTCCAAGCTAACAGGAGTAACTTTGCTGTTTTGCTGCTTGTTGCATGCACACAGGAATGGATGCCGAACTTCATTTTCTCCTCCCCAGCACAGTTTGAGACCTTCCAAGATACACGGTCAAGCTGCATACTTCTAAATGAAATAAAGGCCCATTTTATGTATATGTATATATTTTTATTTCAAGAGAAAAGAAAATTAAATGATTGCTAAACCTTTCAGTTCTTGTTAATCAGAGTGTGAAATAACTTGCAGATTTGTCTACAGAGTCTAGTGTGTATCTGTTCACAGATAGTGCTCTGAAAAGGCACCTCTTGTGATGCTTGAGTCTGGAGCACTGTTTGTGTATATAATGACATTGTGTATTTCATCTAATACTGTTCAATTTGGATATTGTCTGCTACTAATCTGAGTTGCTTATCTAAAAAAACAACCAAACAAAACCTCAGTTGATCAGTGTTTTTTTATTTTAATTTTTTTTTTTTAAGTCCTGTGTGACCTTTCTTGTCTTGTGTGTGTTATGTTAGCTAATCTTTTTTTCAAAGGAACACTCCATGCACCATAACCACTACAGCGCACTGAAGTGGTCATGATGCAGGGACAGCTCTGGCACCCCCGTTCCCCTCCCAATGTTGGCATTAACTTTCTACCTGTGGACTGTCAGGCACCCCTCTCTGCTTACTCTCCGCTCCAAACTAGGCATATTGGTCCAAAGCGGCACTGCAGGGTTTATGTCAGGAAAACTAAAGGAATCTCCTAGATGGAGGTTTCAACTATCCTGTTGGCTGAGAGTAGGCCGGCAATCAGCACTTGTCAGACTCCATGAAAGAGGTCAATACACCAGAAAACAGTTTGCTTACTTTGGGGATGCCAGGCAATTCCTAGTGCCATAAACACTACAACACGCTGTAGTGGTTGTTGTGCTTGGAGTATTTCTTTTACTGATCACTTCTGGGTTGTTTGCTCATGATGGAACAGTAGCATGCAATATATGCTCTACAATGCTGTCCTGAACATTGCAAAAGAAAAGTAATTTGTTAGCACCTCATATATATGATATAAATAAGCAAATGACTGTAATTTTTCTGACCTATACTCACACATTCCAATAATTGATCACCATGTCAAGTCATTATACTAATGTATATGGGTTTAATGGCTTGACTTAAACTACGAGGAGGGTTTCGCTAGGAAATCGGCATATATTGTAAAAAGACAAATAAAAACTCAGACGTATTACAGTCATTCATATATAACCCAGAGTATTTAAATAAAAGCAGTATAAGTGATGTACCAATAAACACACTATGTAGAAAACTGATAAAATCCGTTAGTTTAATGAACAACTTGAAATTTCGAAACAACTGCCTGCATGATGTTCATCAAACCTGGAATTTTGGAGACTTGACAAGAGAACTACCTACTTTGCTATATTTGCCTAAAATTTGCCATTTAGATATCAATTCAGTGCAATTCTATGTTTACTAAATAAACATTTTTGCTTTTAGTGTGGTATAAATGATATGAACAACTTATCACAAACGCATTTTATTTTTTATATAATATAAATTTACTTTCTACTTGTGGCTATTAAGTGTATGGGTCTCTGTTCGGCCATATTGGTTACATGAACATCTACACATTAATAGTATAGTGGCTCAAGTGTGAATTTAGTGAAAGCTGTAATCATTCTTGCCTCTTGATTTCAGTGTTTGTTTTGGGGGTATTTTTTTGCATGAAGTAAAGAAACTACATTTGATTTTATTTTTCTGCATGTTTGTTTGTTTTATTTTTATTTACTACACTTTCTCCTCCCTTCCCCCCTTCTCGTCTTTGCTCTGTTTTGTTCTACGTTGTTTCAGATATATCTTTTCCCCATTGGACAACCCAAAGGCTGGATCAAGGTGGTCCAGTTCTGCACGCTTTATTCCTCCTCCTCTGGTAGAGCACCTATGTGATGCAGAACCTCAAAGTCCTTCATCCTTAAACACTCGCAGGCGATACAACCCCCCACCTCTTAAAACTTTACTTGAAAATCAAGGTGTATAGTCAGTTATAAAGTTGCCTTAACACTTTCTTCTGATGATGAGCTGTTCGTTTTTAAAAATATATATATTTTTTCTGCTTTCCTTCTATACCTCATAGGTGGCATGTGAACTCCAACTTCTTTATGGTGTCAAATCTAATTCTACAATATACACACATACATGCAGACAGTTTCCATAACTCATTTCCTTAATTGGTGAATAGGATAGTACTAAAATAGGTAGTTGAACTTAAAGTGCCTGTCAAGTGCTCTGACACTTTGTTATTGGGTAGTGCTTGTGATTTTATTCTAACATTTTCTATTGAATTAAAGTGTCTTGTTTTTGTTTTTTTCCTGTGTACTGCAGCAAAATGTAATGAGAATTTGTCAATAGTTTGAATAAGACTTTTATTTAAGTGTCATGCTTTTTGTACAATAATAAAAAGTGAATCTGAACATTATCATTTAGTGACCTTATTTGTAAGGGAGATATGATGTTGTGAAAGCTGGTTCAGATTTTTGAAGCAAATGACAAATATAAAGTTTTTTTTGATACCAAAGAAATTCAACAAACACCACTAAATTAATGAAGGTGTCTGAAGGAAGTGGGTATATAGTGGTACTGTGACTATCCTTTTAACTGGACCTTACTATATTGGAATTATTTGCAATAAATTATGTCTCAATTTTTAGGACTTTTCTTTTGTCTCAAAATTAATTTACCTGGGGCCCACTGGCCAAATTGTCTATTCACATGAGGGCCTACTCCTTGATGCAACACTGAAACCACACATACACTTTGCTGTAGATACAATTGTCTTTGTACAAAAAAAAGGGTAACGGTACCTTTGAACTTTGAGACTTGATGGGCTTATTAAAAATTCAACCCAAAATAGCTGAATTTGATAAAAGAAAAAATACAAGCCAATTATGGTACTATTTTTAACATTAAATTGGAAAATTCACTTTGCATTCCTGGCAATTCTCACTTTAGTGACCTTGTAGGCGTAATTTCCTTGGTTACCAAAGATCCCCTCTCTCTTCACGCCTCTTTTAACTAAACAACAAATTTTGTCTGCGTGCAAAAGAATTGGTGAAAATGACCAAATACAGAAGTATCTAAACCGGAGCATAGAATGTGAAGAAAACCACATGAATATAAGACTGTAATCTATTAAATGTGTTTTTGTTAGGAGGATCCTTAATAATATGAACCAGTCATACTCTAGGCATTCTCCCTGTCTTGAGCCTTATTCAAAGAACATATGCCCACAACATCACACCAAGGAAAACAAGTAAAAAGACAACTCTTTAAAACCAGTGTATTTAGTACAGTTGTACAGTGTGATGCAGTACTTTAGGGTGAAGGACCACAGTATGTTATATGGGAACAACATGCACGGGGCAGCTTCCAGTTAGAATACAGAATATTTTTACAGACATTTTGCATACTGCTGATTTAAACACTGACCGGGCTTTTCACTAATGTGATAATTGCTGGGAATTAAAGGCGCAATATAGTCACCAAAAGAACGTTGGCTTAATAAAGCAGTTTTGGTGCATATATAATGTCCCTGAAATTTAACTACTCAATTAATAATGCCTTTTTCTGTCTATGCAGCACTATCCATACCTCTCCTGGCTGTGACTGACAAAGCTCGCATGAAAACAAAATTGTTTCATTTTCCATAAGATGTAACTTACATTAACAGTTTGTATCTCCTGCTCTGTAAACCTGAATTACATACAGGAGGCTCCTGCAGGGTCTAGTAAGCTAATAACAGAGCCAGAGAAAAGAAATTGTAGGTTAAACAGATGTACTAATGGAAGTGTAAACATTAGGTGACTCTTTACAGGGAATTTTTAAGGAAGGCTTTGCAAGTCACATGTAGGGAGGTGTGACTAGGGTTCATAAACAAAATGATTTAATTCCTAAATGGCAGAGATTTGAGCAGTGAGACTGCAGGAGCATGATCTATACACAAAAACTGCATCATTAAAACGTGAATTTTAAAATCTAGGCCAAAATAGCTGAATTTAAAATAATCATAGTTAACCCATTAAGGACCCAGTCCATCATGCTGGGGAAGCACTTAAAGGACCACTATAGTGCCAGGAAAACATACTCGTTTTCCTGGCACTATAGTGCCCTGAGGGTGCCCCCACCCTCAGGGTCCCCCTCCCACCCAGCTCTGGAAGGGGGAAAGGGGTAATAACTTACCTTTTTCCAGCGCTGGGCGGAGAGCTCTCCGCCTCCGATCCGCCCCGCCGGCTGAATGCGCACGCGCGGCAAGAGCTGCGCGCGCATTCAGCCGGTCTCATAGGAAAGCATTTACAATGCTTTCCTATGGACGCTGGCGTGCTCTCACTGTGATTTTCACAGTGAGAAGCACGCAAGCGCCTCTAGTGGCTGTCAATGAGACAGCCACTAGAGGATTAGGGGGAAAGCTTAACCCATTCATAATTATAGCAGTTTCTCTGAAACTGCTATAATTATGAAAAAATGGGTTAACCCTAGAAGGACCTGGCACCCAGACCACTTCATTAAGCTGAAGTGGTCTGGGTGCCTAGAGTGGTCCTTTAACGGCGCGTGAAATACTGGGTCTGTCATGTGCTAAAATTAACCCCAGATTGCCGCAGTGCCAGCGATCATGGGGTTACCGCTGTTGCTGGGTGCAAACCAGCAACAGCAAATCGCAATGTTCTAGCCCACGTGATCGCCAGTCACAGCAGTGTAACGGACTGTTAAGCACACAAGGGGTTAAAATCAGTTTAGACGATATTCCCCTTCCAGGTAGACGAGCAGCTACTGCAAACACATGAATACTCCAACTCCTGAACAGGAAACACACGAATGCTGTAAACAGACGAACAGGAAAAAACATACGAACAGTTTACACTCCTGGCAGTCGCACTGTAACAGCATACAATCCAATTTCCCCCTAGAACGAGACAACACTTCGTTTGAGGGTCAAGCAGAACTGAACTTTTATTCAAACACACTGCTTTTATGCCCATTCTACAAACATAGTACCGCCCACAGGGTTTTAGAGTACAACCAATCAATACGTACAATACACTCAGACACTCCCACACAAAATCCTCCCCTCTGGCTGTGATATAATTACTGAACACAGTGGGCTAACGTAATTATCATAGGCAGGAAAATACAGTTTTACACAATATTCATAACTTGAAAATATACATCACATTCACATAAACTTACATTACATTTTCAGAATCAGCATACTCCAAATACAAATGTACATCAAAATCCTACAAATTGGTCCAGTGGGTCAAAAGTTAGTTGGAAGTCCCTTTGTGACCAACTGCAAGCATGGCTTGGGTGTGGTAAGCCAATTATCTCCAGCATACAGAAAATAGTTCTATTCACAACAACAGTAAACACATAAAAATACATAATTCCTATTATACTGAACAGAACCCCCACATTCAGCTTGGATATGAGCGCTCACTATATGCGAACAGCGCTCAGATCCCACGAACACAGTCAAATCGCCACGGGGTTAAACCATAGCAAGGGCTGATGAGAGACAGAGGAGGGGCAAAACAGCAAGTTCCAACTGGTCTGGCAGTGTCCCTGGGACAATGCCCTGCTGGAGAACAATAGACAGGAAACAGGGGAGGGGCACACCTTCCCATGTATTCAAAGGGGCAGAAAGTGTTTTAAAATCCAATAAGCCCAAATAATAGTTACACAGGGCAAAGTCTCTCAGGGGCCATAGTCACATGGCAGGAGGCTGGCAAACAGTCTTCTCCAATGCCCAGTGGCGAGGCTGGTTCTGCCACATTTTTCCCCTTTCCCAAAAACACTTACAAGGTATCTGGCCTCCTGTCGGTCAGTGCCTTTGTTAGTCCAGCAACCCACCCACAATAAACGGTTACTACACCTGGACTAATGTGTAGCTGGCCCATGTCCAGGGGCTCCACCACGGCTGTGTGAGGTACTGGCACTCCAGATCGGTGGGTTGCTGAGTGGTACTCTGCCCTGGTGCCAGCGCTTCAGCTGGTTGGAGCCCAGCTGGAAATAGGGGGTAGTAGGCTCTTCTCTCTGGACCTGGTGCTGCTGCTGGTGGGGGAGACAGAAGGTCTCCCCTTTGGATAAACAGCCCTGCTGCTGGGAGAGAGACCTGTACGGCACAATGCTGCTGGGGGACAGGACTGACTGTCCCTACCCCCGGTAGTTTGGGCATAGAGACCACAGTCCCATCTGCACCGGTGTGGAGCTTTTTGTCTCCCCTTAGTGGGCTAAGCTGCTGCTGGGGAGAGGGGGTAACAGACTCCTCTCCGTTACACACTTTCAGCCGCTGGGGAAGGGAGACAGGGCTCTCCTTCCTGCAAGGGATATTGCAAGAGTCGCACAGGTTTTCAAAATCAAGTAAGCCCAAATAATGCTTACACAGGGCGTAGTCTCCCAGGGGCCATAGTCACATGGCAGGAGGCTGGCAATCAGTCTTCTCCAAGGCCCAGTGGCGAGGCTGGGATATCAGATCTGCCTCCCTCCACCTCTGTTGGGTTTGTGAACGGCAGAGAGACGGATCGTTGTTACATTGTGTCCATGAAGAGAATACATTGTTTTAAGAGATTCCAAATCCCCTTTACCCTGCTCTTTTTTATTTTTTATTTTTTATTAAAGTTAACCATTTCCCTGCTGATTGATCATTGCCAGCAGCGATCAAAATACAGATCACAGTACTTTACTGTGATCTAATTGTTTGAGTTTTTTTACCTTCAGGGATTAAATTAGATTTTTTTTTAGTAACCCTAAAGGGTTAAATTTTAATATTTTATTTGATCAATTTGTGATTTAGTTAGTTGTGGGTAGAATTTAGTGGGAATTGGGGAATTTAGAAATAACCAATTAAGGTTGAAAAGTAAAAAAAATAAGTTTTGTTAAAATTGATTACCGTAGCACACAATGTTTAGGAAGTATAGCGCAGAGGACGCTTATGCCCTGTTAGCATCTGACTCAGACACTGCCTCGGGGAGTGACTCAGGGGACAGGGACTATGTACCAGATACTGCAGGACCATTAGGAGAAAATGCTGATTTCCCTGATGCTGAACATGGCGCAGATGACTGGGTACCCCCATAATAATTTTTCACCAGACATTCCAGAGTTCACTGCCAATCCTGGCATACAGGCTGACCTGTCTGGCTATAATGCACTGGATTGTATGCAACTGTTCTTGGGGGGTTATATTTTTGGGGAGATAGTCAAACAATTAAGAGTCTCTCCTCGCCAGGAAAGAGAGATGGTACACCACCAGTGTGCCAGAATTTAAACAATTCTGGACACTGACAATACTAATGGGGATAATTAAAAAGCCCACCATTAGAATGTATTGGTCTAAAAACCCATTTGCAATACTCCCATTTTTCCCAGACAATGAGCAGGCCCAGATATGAAGGCACACTGTGATAATACGAAGTGCCCCCCAAAAGGTCATCAACAGTATGATCTTTTATATAAAATATGCCCTCTAATTGCCCACTTTAACAAAAAAATTGACACTTTTTATACCCCCTAAAAACATTTCTATTGACTAATCCCTCATGAAGTTCAAGGAAAGACAGGGGTTTAAACAGTACATCCCATCCAAAAGATCCTGATATGGGATCAAATTTTATAAGTTGTGTGAAAGTGGCAGTGGCTATGTGAACACCTTCTGTGTATACGAAGGAAGAATAAAAAAGGGGGGAAACAGCAGCTCTCTGCCAGAATAATCTGCTGGCATTAAAGATAAAAAGGAGGTGTTCATCCTAACCACCATCCATGGTGAACACACTCGTACGTTTCTTTCCTTTCAGTTTCAGCTCATTTCTGGGGTGCTTGAGTGCCACAGAAGGGGACCATCAGTGGAGTCTAGCAGAAGAATGGAGGCAGGTCACTTCTGCTTCAGTATTCCATGAACCCCCAAAAAGAAAAACCCCTAGAAAAGGTGTTGGTTGTGTTACAAGAGTTGAGTAAGAGCTGAGACCAGTTATTACTGCCCTGATTGCCCCTGATTGAATTCAAAACCTACTAAGATGCTCAAAAATTTAACATGGACCCAGCGTCAAAATTCAAAGTTTGGAAAAAACAGATATGGCTTGGTCTCCAATGTGCACCTTCAACATCCACATATTCCTGAAAAAGGTACACATGGGGGTATTGTTGTACTAAGACGACATACCTGAGGAACATATTAGGTGTTTTTTCTGGCAATTCGGACGAATTTCGGGCAATTCGGACATTCAGATGCTTCCGAATGTCCGAAGTGCCGAATTTCTGAAGTGCCGAACCAAATTGCCGAAGAGCTTCAGATTTCTGAAAAGTGGCAAAACAAGAGAGGGAACGAAAATTACGTGAATAATGAAAGGGGTAGGGTTAGTGGTAGGAGTAGGGTAGAGTTAGGGTAGGGTATTGTTAGGAAGCCCTACTGATGTTCCCAATTCCGATGTCCCAAATTGGCAAAGTCTTGAATTTCGGAAGTGCCGGACCGAAGTCCTGAATTTCGGAAGTGCAGAACTAAAGTCCTGAATTGCCAAACTTTTTTTTCTTACCCGAATTTCCGAACCGAACAGAATTTTTTGATCATCACATCCTTAATATACAGTAACACCTCCAAGTGCGTGTCCTAAAGGCAGAAAAAAATGCTAATTGCTACTAGACTTGGTACAAACTAGCAAAAAATGATCCTACGCAATGGTTTAAAATATACTTTTTGAAATACCGTGGGGTGTCTACTTTGTGGGGGTTTTTTTTTTGAACTGTCAAACTGCTATAATACCCCATATTAAAACATAGGCCCATCAAATACGTCTCTCAAAATTCTACTGTAAATACTGAAATGTACAGGTCTCCTATATGGCACTGTAGCTTCACAAAATAGTGCCAAAGACATTTATTAGTGGTATCATTTTACTCAGAAAACTTAGCTGAGCATAATTTTGGGTCTTTGATCATAGTGGCACATATGAAATATACAAAATGCCCAGCAAAAATGTAAATAATTTTTTTACCACAAAGTGACACATATTGGTGAAAAAATGGGGGCATGTTAAGGCACAATATGCACCATATGAGATACCCTGGAGTGTCTACTTTTACAAATGGTAGGCCTTTGTGTTTTTTTTTTTGAACAGTCAAACTGCTCTAATACCCCAAATTAAAACATAGGCCCATCAAATCCATCTCACAAAATTCTACTGTAAATACTGAAATGGACAGGTCTCCTATATGGCACACACTCTCACTAACAGACACACACAGTCAGTAACAGACACGCATACACTCTCACTAACAGACATGCATACACACTAACAGACACACACACTAACAGACACACACACTAACACAAACACACTGTAACGGATCGCCTGGCACCCCGACTGGGTACCTCCGTTGAAGGATGCTCCTAGCGCTTCCTAAGGACTCCAAGCACTCTGGCAGACACCACAATCACCGAACCCGAGAAACAAATAAATTCTCCCAAGCATATGAATGCTGTAGACAGTTGAATAGGAACCATATGAATAGGTTTACTCTCCTAGCAGTCAAACTGGAACAGCATACAATAAATCCTTCCCCCAATAATGAGACGACACTTCACTTTGAGGGTTAAAACAGGAACTCCTGTGCTGGCACACCCAGCCTGGTTTTTATTACAGCCTTTCACATACAGGACCGCCCATAGGGAGGTATAAAACAACCAATCACATATCAGTTACATCCCACATATTCCCTCCCCTTATCCTGAGAGGAAACTCAATTACACATACAGTTAAAACATACTTTCTACCCAACTTTCATAACTTTAAAACCATACATCACATTCACATAAAATTACATATTCACAATCAATCCATTCAGGGGAACAACATATTAAAAAATGGCATGAATCCGACCAGGGGTTCAAAAGTTAGTAAAAGTATCTTTTGGGCCCTGGCTGGCACATGGATATCTGGCTCAAACAGGTTTTACAGAGCCCTCTATCCTGGAGACAATGGGGAAAGTAATCCAATTATCCAGGGATAGAGGCAGACTCCATTGAGCACATGGTTGCAAAAAGACATAAAACACTTTAAAATACATAAAGTCACCTTTTACACATAACACACAGACATTTCACATATCCCCAGATAGCTGGGATCTGAGCGCACAAAACTACCGAATAGCGCTCAGATCCTATTCACACAGTTCAATTGCCATGGAGCCGAAGTCTTTAACTACACAAATGGGCTCCATGGCATAGCTATCTGAGTTAACACATTCACATAAAGTCTGGTCCATAGTCCAAAGGCAAGAGGCGGGCAAGCAGCCCTCTCCAAGGACACGTGGCGAGGCCGGTTTCGCCACACACACATATACTAACACATTCACTAACAGACACACAAATAGTAACACACTCCCTAACAGACACACACACACACTAACTGACACACATATACTAACACATTCACTGACACACACACACTAACAGACACACACAGTCACACACTCTCTGACAAACAGACACACAATTAATAAGCTCTCCTTAATCAATTGAGATTACAATGGAAATTACATATCCGAAAAAATCTATGTAAAAGTTTTTTCCTTTAAAAAAAGTTTTTTCTTAAAAAAAGTTTTTTTCCTTGAATTATCTACCAGTGTGGAATAAACACAGAACAAAATTATAACAAATGAGGTAAGGAATAATTAATAAATGAAGACAGGATTATCCCTAAGATCTAAAGGTATTCTATATAGATATACATATAAAGGAATTAATAAGCCCTCCTTATTTAATGGAGTAGTTGTATATATCCTAAAAAAAACTTTTTATAAAGTTTTTTTCCTTGATCACTTATCAGTATGGAATAAATATAGAACGCAATTAATAATCAATAAAGCAAGACAAAGAAGTTATTTAATGAATATTGTCATAGAGAGAATACTCTACCCACCTGGCTAATTGTGGGTTGTCTCCCTTTAAATAGGATACATTAAAAAGATCCATATGGTTATGCACAGATACCCTTGCCACAGTTTTTATTTTGTTATATTTACATTATTTGTTATATTTACATGATTTGTATACACATATATACACTCTATGTGCTGTTATTTATCATTTTCTAAAAGAATATTTTCTCATGCCCCTCCATATTATCTTGTCTCCACATTACTTATTGGAATAATAATGGACTGTTCCGCATTGGTGGAACGCAAGAACCACCATGTGTACAGAAAGAACCTTTGGAACGCATTTGGAACACACGAACGGAATGTGATGATGTCATATACCCGGAACCAGGAAGTAATTACAACTTGATTGCGAGCAGCTGAAATCAAGCAGGAAGACCATGTGGATGACATCTATCAACTGATTGTGGGGTGTATTTACTTTCACCTCATTTTGGATGCACTTTGTTTTACATGCTGCTGAGACCTGCAACATCAGCTATTGGAAGAGAGATACAACCTGAGATCTCCAATGATTACTGAATGCCCTTTTTAACCAGTTAAAGTGTGAGTGACCCATTGGCAAAAATAATTACCCGATTTAGGTCCCACAGAGTTGCACTGTTTCTCTTTATCTCCCTCTAGTTGGATTGACCCTATTTTTGTCTGTAGACACACAAACACTCACTTTAAAAAATATATTTTTTAATTCAATCCCCCCCAGCCTCCCTACCTTTGGGAGTGCTGGGGTGGATTCTTGCTTTCCCTTGGGCCCAGTGGGGCTATTGGGCGGCCGGCGGTCACTGCAGTCGGCGAGGAAGCACTGATCCTCCTGTTCAGGTCCCTTACGCGCCGCGTAGTGATACCGGGGCCAGAGTGACTTCATATTCTGGCTCTGGCATCACTGCGGTGCGCACGAGGGAGCTGACCTGCAGTGACGCCGGGAGCTGGAATATGACACACGAGGGAGCTAAGCAGAGCGCTCGGGGGATAGTGCTCCCTCGCTGAAAACCTAGAGCGCCCGCCAGCCTGCCTACCTGCACATTCGTCCACCTCCCTGCCCAGCAGACCCATTGGACCCCAGGTGAGAAATCCACCCAGCTATCCTAAAAGTAGGGAGGCTGGGTGGATTTGAATTTAAAAAAAAATATATTAATAACAGTGAGAGGGGGAAATGTGTGTGTGTGAGTGTGTGTCAGTGAATGTGAGTGTGTGTGTGTCAGTGAATGTGATCGTGTCAGTGAATGTGAGTGTGTGTGTGTTTGTCAGTGAATGTGTGTGTGTGTCGGTCAGTGAGTGCGTGCGTCTGTCAGTGAGTGTGTGCGTCTGTCAGTGAGTGTGTGTTCGAGTAAGTGTATGTCTGTCTATCAGTGTGTCAAATCAGTGAGTGTGTGTATGTCATTGTTTGTCAGTGTATATGAGAGTGTGTGTCTGTCAATGAGTGTATGCATCTATCAGTGAGTGTGTGCGTCTGTCAGTGAGTGAGCATCTGTCATTCAAAGTGTGGCCTTGACAGGAAGGGGTGGAGAAAATTTTAATTGGGGAGGGATCATACAAGGGAAGTCGCCCTAAAGGATCCTTTTTGAGGCATATGATAAGCGAGCCTTGTAAAAGTAAAGTCTCTGTGCAGACTGTCTGAAATTGGCTACAGGCCAATCTACCCCTGTGCCGTATATTATGAAATATCAAACGGGAGGTATCTCAAGATAATCATAGAAGCTGTTAAAGCGCAAATCCTCTGTACAATTCCCAGAATGTATACTTTGTATACTTCGAGGAATCCTTGGATGAGAATATTCAGCCTATTTCAGTACCTCCAGAATCCGCTCAAGTGGACCAAATGATATCCAGAGTCCGTAGGTCCTTATATATGAAAGAATCTTTTAAGGTCGAAGCGTCTACCTCTAGCCTTTCTTTCGGATGTCAGAAAGAACAGAGCATCTTTTCATGTTCCCAGTTCCATTAAGATCCTTATTATGGAGGAATGGTTCAAGTTTTCAACACAAGGGGGTATCTTGAGTCTTTATCCATTGGGATATCAGATGTTTGTACCTGGGACTCAGCTCCTAAGTGGACGATGAAGTATTTAGACTGGCTAAATGTTCAATTCTGCCTGTTCAACAATGCAGGATCTCTCTGAGACTCCATGGAGCATAGATGGCCTTGATCCTCTCTAATAACCTATGTAGCAGCTGGCACATGCTTTCATCCTGCTGCAAACTCTTACCTCAATCTCTAAGGATCTAAGATTGGTATGGATAGATAATCTTCCTTTTGTCCGTTGAACGTACAAGTTATTAAGCCAGGAACAGGGCCACCATCAGGGCATGACAACCGCAACGGTTGTCATGGGCCTGGCGGTCCTGGGGGGCCCGGACTGCTAAGGTCGTCCGGGCCCCACATTCAGTGGGTACATACCGGGTCGCAGGGGGCCCTGCAACCCCGCTATGTACCCACTGGGCCAGCCTCTTCTCCTGGGGGGCCAAGCAGCCGGTCACCTCAGGGCCCCCCCCAGAGGCTGGCCCTGACAGCCGGCCGGCGCGCAAGGGAGCACTCTCCTCTGAGTGCTTCCTCTTCAGCTCCCTCAAGCGCCGCGTACTAATGCCGACATTAGTACGCGGCGTGGGAGGGAGCTTAAGAGGAAGCACTCAGAGGAGAGTGTTCCCTCGCGCGCCGGCCGGCTGTCAGAGGGAGGGAGGGGGGAAATTTGAGGGAGGAGGGGGGGAGGAAAGAAATTTAAGGGAAGGAGGAGGAAATAAATTTAAGGAAGGGGAGAGGAAGGAATGAAATGGGAGGGGGGAAGGGGAAGGAATGAAATGGGAGGGGGGAAGGAATGAAATTTGAGGAGAGGGGGAGGAAGGAATGAAATGGGGGGGGAAGAAATGAAATTTGAGGGAGGGGGGAGAGGAATGAAATTTGAGGGGGGAGAGGAATGGAATTTGAGGGAGGGAGGGGGGAGAGGAAGGAAATTTGAGGCAGGGAGAGAGGAAGGAAATTTGAGGGAGGGAGAGAGGAAGGAAATTTGAGGGACGGGGGGAGAGAAAGGAAATTTGAGAGACGGGGAGAGGAAGGAAATGAGAGGGAGGAGGAGAAGAAGGAAATTGGAGGGGGGAAGAAGGAAATTGGAGAGGGAGGGGGAGAAGAAAGAAATTGGAGGGAGAGGGGGGAGAAGACTTGAAGTTGAGGGGAGAATAAGGAAATTGATGGGGAGGAAGAAGGAATGAGGAGGGGAGGGGAGAAGGAAATTGAGGGTGGGGAAGAAGAAGGAAATTGGAGAGGGAGGGGGGAGAAGAAGGAAATTGGAGAGGGGGGGGAGAAGAAAGGAGAGGAGGGGAGAAGAAGGAAATTGGAGAGAGGGAGGGAGGGGGAGAAGAAGGAAATTGGAGGGGAGAAGGAAATTGGAGGGGGGAGAAGGAAA